AATTGGTCACGTTCTGTTCACGTGACAAACCTCACTAATTGGCTGTGTCGGGTGGTGGCGGGTTTTAACGACGCATTTATATATTTGCGCGATTTAACCCCAAAAATTTAACTTGTATTATGGATATTGATCCCGAAAGCCTACGTGTTACATATTTTTATTGCTCATCGGATTCCTCCGGTGTAAATATTCAGATTTTCTCTTCTGCTGTTGTCGTTCTCGCGAGGTTTGTGGAGCGGCAGGAGTTGGCCAGCGTCGGTGGGATTTCTTCCTCCATTCAGTAAATAAGAAAATGTTTTGGTTTAAAAAAAAATGAGAATTAGGTAAGACAGGAGTTGTGTTAAGATGTTCAATCACCAAATGGAAACCTTTTGCAAAGCATCAAGTCTGCAATGACCAGACGCGCTTGTGGCAAAACATGCAAACAAGACGTGCTCTGATAATATATGCACCGTCTTTGAAACTAATTGGCCTACACCAGAGGACCAGCTTCTTTACGTGCTTGTCTCACCACGAGTGTTAGCCCAGAGGACGCCACAAAGCGGACAGTGCAAAGGCAATGCAAGTATCAGAATACTTACAGCTGAGTGTCACAGAGAGTTATATCCACGGGACCTTTTTGACAGCATTAATGCATTTATTGTCAGAGCATGTTTGTTTGGATGGTTTGACACAGTTTTGTGTGGTTAATGCCTTGCACAAAGTTTTATATTTGGTGTTTGAACATCTTAACACCTCCTGTTTTATTGCCAGAAAGGGATAAAACCTCTTCTTATACTGCCAAAAAGGTCCCATTCATATACAGTACATGCTTGCAATGGCGGAGCCAGGATTTTCAGGTAGAGGGGGCAACCCCTCCAGCAATGAAAAATGATAGAGGAGTTGTTAGTATTTCGATTTAAAGCTTTCGTGACTGCAAGGATTCATCTTCTTTGGTTCTTTCGGTAAAGTCACGTAGAATGAGAATAAAATAATAAAAAAATTTCATTTAATTCTCACGACGTTTCGGCCACAACACAAGGCCACACAAGGCCACTTGTGTTGTGGCCGAAACGTCGTGAGAATTTTATTGTGTTATTTTATTTTATTATTTTATTCTCATTCTACGTGACTTTACCGAAAGAACCAAAGAGGAGTTGTTAGTAAGTAAGGAGTTGTTAGTGAGTAAGGAGTTGTTAGTAAGTAAGTTGTTAGTAAGTAAGGCGTTGTTAGTAAGGAGTTGTTAGTAAGTAAGGAGTTGTTAGTAAGGAGTTGTTAGTAAGTAGTTGTTAGTAAGTAAGGAGTTGTCCCTTGCTTGTTACTCGCCGCGTGTGCGGCGATGACGCAGCCATCGATCGAGGGTCGAATTCGAACCGCGTTTTGTGATCGGCATCACGCTCGCTGAAGGTGTTGATGCCTTCAGGGAAGTCGTGGACTGTATACGCAACTGCGCACAATTCTGAGTCACTTTTCACTGTTTTTCCGTTACTTATTGCCAATTATGGACTCAGACTATTGTCCTATCATCTCATAGAGTCCCTGTCACGTAATAATATGCTCCACAGTGGCAGTGGGAGTCGCAAAATGCCGCTTTATTACTAATAAACCCCGATCCGATCGAAATTAGGGATTTCGATCGAATCATTGGGGGGGGGGCACGTGCTACTCCCCCCCCCCCCCCACTGGCTCCGCCAGTGGGTGGTTGCTTCTTTTCTGACAGATGCCCGGCACTTAAAGAACAACATGCATCGAAAGATGAAGCGGGACTTGGGTACTGATCTGACGACTGAGATTAGCCAAGACGGAGTTCTAACCCAAGGAGTATGGCGTCAATCAACTCGACGGTGGCGAATGTATGCACGTTGAACTTCTTTCGCACCGTACGTAGCGAGCCGCGCTAATCGGAGGTGCGGGGGAAGGACAACAAACTAAACACAAAACGAATTCCTAAAAGAAATGGTGTTCGAGAAGCGTCTGTTCAGCTTCAGCAGCGACAGGCCTCTGTGCTGACAGCATCGTAGGCAGAAGCAACGCGAGTAATAGAGATGGCAGAGTGTAAGGAGATCAACGAGAGAATAAAACTACGTGGTGGTTGCAATGCCTCGGAGCAGCTGCATGAAAAACCGTTCGTGAACCAGATTTTGAGATTCATGGGCCAGTGTGGGCCACCGCAGGGCTTTTGACTGCAAGACCAACAATTACAGACTGACCAAGGTCAATAAATCGAGATTTAAATCGACATTTATTGACGAGAACCTTCCTGGTGTGACCTTCTGTGACCTTTCCCCGAGGTCCCCCTCCCGTGTCTATCCTGGCTTGCTGACGTCAGGACTGCCGTACACCGCAGATCCCCTTTGCTGCCAGTGGTATGGCACTACATTATGGGTCTCTGTGTGAGTTTATGGGCCTCTGCTGTGTGAGTCTATGGGTCTCTGCTGTGTGAGTCTATGGGTCTCTGCTGTGTGAGTCTATGGGTCTCTGCTGTGTGAGTCTATGGGTCTCTGCTGTGTGAGTCTATGGGTCTCTGCTGTGTGAGTCTATGGGTCTCTGCTGTGTGAGTCTATGGGTCTCTGCTGTGTGAGTCTATGGGTCTCTGCTGTGTGAGTCTATGGGTCTCTGTGTGAGTCTATGGGTCTCTGCTGTGTGAGTCTATGGGTCTCTGGGTAAGTCTATGAGGCTCTGTGTTCGTCAATGGGTCTCTGTGCGAGTCTTCGGGTTTCTTGATCTCTGTGTGAGTCTATGGATCTTGGTGCAAGTCTACATAAGGGTGGCGGGCCCTCCACATTGAGCAGCTGCTGAACGTGCAGCGGCCGGTCTATCGCGAGATTTGTTTGACCCTGGAAGGAGTCATTCACGAAGTGGCTGTCACTGCCTTTTCTGGCCCGGGACGTCGGTCAAGGGCGTGCGCACATTCGATGAGATTCCTCGTCGTGTGTTCACGAGTAACCGTGGAGGTCGTGTAGTTACAAAGACAAAGATCCCCCCAATATCCTTTAACAGACTGTTGGGGCAAGTGCTGCTGTTAGCGATCACCTATCTCTCCAAGGCTGATGTTTACACACCGCACCAGGTACTCATCTGAGGCTGAGCCGACTTAGGGGAGACTCAGGACCGATTCAGATGACCGTATTGTCACTGGTGTTGGTCGTGAGCGGGAGTCGAATGCGTTCGTAGCGCAGCGCGCTCACCGCTACACTACCGATCCCCACACGCAGTGTTCAGGTATTGTTCAGGCAGTGGCCCACCGAGACAAATTCACACACACACATGCTTATGAGAGACACGTGCTATAATCCGATGCAGTGACACACACACACGCACGTGCTATAATCAGCTATAGCGGTTCACACGCTTAGGCACAATTATACAAACACGCTGACACACACAAAGGAGACAAAGATCCCCCGTATAGCTCTTTAACAGTCTTGTGGCAAGTGCTGTTAGCGAGGATTTACATAGCGGACGAGAGCGGTGGTGTGATCAGCACCATGCCCGGCTGCCTTTGTCTCCCCAGTGCTGATGTTTACACACCGCACCAGGCAGGCATTTGAGGCTGAGTCGTTCTAGGGGATGCCTAGGACTGATTCAGATAATCGTCACTGGTGTTGGCGGCCGTGAGCAGGAATCGAAGTCAAGGCCGTAATTATAATATACATTGGGTGGGACATCCCCCCCAACATTCAAATATGCTCAAAATGTCCCCCCCAATATGGTGCTATAAACAAACAAAAAATTGCGATGCTATGTAAATAAAAACAACAATTTGCTAAACCTTGGCCACAATATCTGGACTTGTCTTCATATAACAATGCATAGATTCGTTTATATGATTGTGGTTATGGTTGTACTTTATTAATCCCTAATCTCTGCCATTACATACAATGAAACAAGAAAATGTACAAAAGAAAAAAAAACAGAGCAATGTAATATAATACACTATTAGACATTATTGTTAAAAAATAAATGAAAAGTCCATTCCATGTGTTAGTTTTCAAATTGAGATTTTTTTATCGGGGGGGGGGGGGGGGGCCCCGACCCCCTGGAAGATTTGGTCCCCCCAATGTTGACTCCATGGCTACGGCCTTGATCGAATTATAGTCGTAATGTTCCTACCGCAATGTGCTAACCCACTGCGCCACCGTTCCCCCACTTATCAACAGCCACCGGTCGCCACTAAGCGGACGGTGACGTTACCACCGGCGCTTGTGCCAGGCTAGGTGGACCTCGTAGTCGTCACGTAAAGCGTGGAAGGTTCAACGACAGGTCACGGGACAGACCCAGGGGTGCCACGGGTTGACAGAGACTACCAGATGCGCCACCCGTTCTCCCCCCACTCTGACAACCTTCCACGTTTTAGCCGCTGGGGCGCTCTGCTTGTTGTTGTGAGCGTCTCTCTTCAGGTGGCCAAGCGTCAGGAGTAGTGGAGTGTACCATCGCTGTGATGTCTCCTTCATATTTGTGGATCGGGCATTGCGTCGTTATACGTTGTACGGCCTGTTCTGGATGATCACAGCCTGACGCTGCCAAGCAGCGTCGTCCTTCACGAGCCTCCTCCACACAGGCCAATCTTGACACCGCCGGTACCAGTCATCTGCAAGTCCACTCAGCTCCACCTCCTCCTGTATCACATCAGCCCATCTCCTCTCTAGTCCGTGCCGCGCCCTCTATCTGGCCAAACAGAAGCTGCTTGGGACATGCGGTGGCTTGGCATGCGGCCAACATGACCCAGCCAACGCAGTTTCCTCTACCTGCTGGAAGTGCTTACCGATGATGGGACCGTATCCACAAAGATCCCCGAAGAGCCTGAATGGACCTTTGGGGCAAGTGCTGTTAGCGAGCACATATGCAGGCCAGCAAGGTACACGAGGGGGTGGGTGGCCAACACCACGCCCGGCCGCCTTTGTCTCCCTCGTGGCGATGCTTACACATCGCACCAGGTACTTATATTTTTAGGCAACCTCGGTTTAGATAATCGTCATGCGCTCTCTCTCTCTCTCTCTATTCCGTGCAACGCAGGGCCTCCTCCACCTTGTCATCCTCCACCTCCTCACCGTCGTCGTCCTCCTAGCCCCGGCCTACCACCATGGACATCGGCGGCCTCGAGACGGTGGTGGCCAACTCGGCGTACGTGGCGGCGCGCGGCGACCTGGACGGTGGCGGCGGCGGGGGCGGCGGGGGCGGCGGCGGCCGTGACCGCAAGATGCACGCGCGCCTCAAGCTGCCGCACGTGCTGCGCCTGGACGAGGTGCAGGCGCGTGTCCTGGCGCTCTACCCCTCGCCCTCGTCACCCACGCTGCCCTCCTTCGAGCAAGTCTGCCACCTCGAGCCCATCGGCCGCCACCTCTTCCGTCAGTTTCTCGAGACGCACAAGTTGTTCCGGCCTGCCGGAGAGCTCCTCCAGGTGCGGGTATTGTCTCTAAGCGGGTGATTGTTGTGCGAGTTGGTTGTTGTTGTTGTTGTTTGTTTGACCGGCACCGCTCTCGGTTCGGGCGCTTAGTCTGTCCCCGGCGCCAGAGCTTTTTGATTGCTCACCAATTAGCACGGTTGGCTACGCACGGTGAGAGAAATATTCAATATTACAGGCAGTCCTCGCCTTATGAACTTCCGACTTACGAACAACTGTTCTCACGAACCGGCTTCCATGAAATATAAAAAACCATTGACTTAAAACGCGAACTCGCACTTGCAAACTGAACCGTGGAACTATTTTGTTCAGAGGAGCGATTCTCCGCAAGATGGAATGAGTCGGCCCTCGCGCTGGGAGTGTGTGCACGCACATGTGAACGTGTGTTGGGAGCGATAGTGTAGCGCGCTGTGCTTCTATGAAAGTGGCTCACAGACAACACCTGTGACGACTATCTGAACCAGTCCTGAGCCTACCTCGGTCGACTCCAATGAGTGCCTGGTACGGTGTTACAACACCATCACTGGGGAGACAAAGGCGGTCGGGCGTGGTGCTGGCCACCCACCCCCTCGTGTACCGTGCTGGCCGTCATAAGTGCGACTTGCTAACAGCACTTGCCCCAACGGGCTGTTAAGGCCACACGGGGGATCGTTGTCGTTGAGGTGTGTGCGTCTTTGTCTTTGCGAGTGTGCGTGCCCGTGCTCCCGTCTGTGCGTGCGGGCATTTAAATACAGCGTATAATTATTGTGTTCCGACTTACGAGCCGTTCGACTTACAAATGGGTCTCAGGAACGATTTAGGTTCGTAAGCCGAGGACTGTCCTACGTACACACATTAGAGTGTTCGTCCGCGTCACTGCCAGTCGAGTGGATGAAGTTGGACGTGATCGATTGTAATAGGTGACGTGCAACTTCTTAATTATTATCCACATATCGAGAGGTATCATGGATGTGGTGTGCCGGGTGTGCTTGTCACGTGTAACATTTACATGGGGTGGAGGAGCAGTGGCACAGTGGTTAGCGCATTGCACTATATGTCTGCAGGCGATCCGACGTTCGATTACTTTGAGTTGCGAGTGATATCTGAACAGAGTCCTGGGCCCTGCCCCTTCGCCAATCCCCACTGACCATGCTGGTGAAGAATGGTCAAACCTATCCCACACCGAAACAATTATGGGGAGGCCCTCATCCCACAGTGGATCAGCAAAGGGCCACTGGTACAATCTTATTATCTTAATTTTCTACAGTGGGGAGTTGATCGGCATTTGTTTACACATCCCGTCAGCTCCAAGGACTTCCGATAGTGCATGATCTCAGCAGCACTTATCCATCACGACAAGCCGACTCTGGGCCCGTTTCGACTTTTGAGTGTCTCACCGGCACACTCAGGCATCCCCTACGGCCAGATGAAAGAGGCGAAATGTCCAAGTTGCTGAGCGATGCAACTTGTGGATGGCTTCAGGAGCAGCCCCGTGAACGTGCGAATAGTTGCCGGCGAATGAAATCAAGTGGGCAGTGCCGTATAGCCTCGTGTGGTACATGGGCTGTGGTTCGATTGTAACGACTACGCAAGCCTGAGTGGGACCGAGTCTCCTAAGTCCAGCCGGTGGGATGAATGGAGTGGGAAACGGGGGAGAGTTCCCGAGCGTAGGCCACCAAACAAAGATGGCACCCCGAACTTTGAATACTGTGCCCATTTCCTCCAACCTCACTGCGTTGATGGGATTCAATATGAAGGCGGCAACTTAGGTTGTGTATTGTATTATTTTTTTTATTTAAAGCTTTCGTGACTGCAGGGATTCATATTCTTGGTTATTTCGGTAAAGTCACGTAGAAGGGAAACAATAAAATAATAAAAATCTAAAACAATACAATTCTCACGACGTTTCGACTGCAACACAAGCAATCATCATCAGGTGTGAAAACCACAGCAAGAAAATTTGAAAAGAGTGGCGTTTTTTTAACGTTTGCACCACGGAGAGCGATTTGGCAGTTTGTTCAGATGGACGAGTCCATCTATGTTCGGAAAAGAGAAGGGGGGAGACGAAACGTCGTGAGAATTTATATATTATTTTATTGTTTCCCTTCTACGTGACTTTACCGAAAGAACCAAGAATATGAATCCCTGCAGTCACGAAAGCTTTAAATCAAAATTTAACCGCCTCTACGGGGAGGGTTTCCACATAACTTTGAGATCCTTCAACAAACTCCGAGATAAGAAGGCTCAGCTGATCGAGTCTCTCACCTTTCTGAAGAGATGCCGCGACTCTGGGGTAATACCAATCGCATTTATACTGACCTCTGCTGCTGTAACTTCTTCTAATGCGAAATGAATTATTTCCAGAACTAGCTTAGCTCTTATCTCAGAGAAAATCAGACTTATACGTACCGAACTAGATAAGTTAGACAAGACACTCTACAAATCACACTTATCATTGACGGCAACAATGTCCACATCGGATTGGGAACATGTAGAAAATATGACTGCCTCTTCAGCTGCCACTATGTCGACCAAATGTAAGGACAACCTGATTTCCAAATTCAACCTCCTCTCCAACAAAAGACCGGACTCACACACCAAAAAGCTAGACGTTAACAAAGTCGTAATTAATTGCAGTAACAGTTCTATTTACAATGGTCTGAAATCCGTTTAGCTAAAGGGCTAAGCTTTGCAGTCACACCTAAACACATACCAGTTAATGATATCATTCCCTAAGTAGACGTGGCTCTCAAGGGCCTGGGTCACATCGCTGCAGACGTAGCAAGATCTGAAATCGCTGCAACCCTTAAAAAGCTAAGATGCCAGCTAGCAACATCAGCAAAGATGAGCGTTTTAAATTATATAAATTAAAAAAGAGGGATGGCATTGTCATCCTCTCAGCCGACAAGGGCAATGCCACTGTCATCATGGATAAAATAGAATATAACAACAAAATTCCAGAATTACTCAACGATGGCAGCTATACAAAAATAAAAAGAGATCCTACCAACAGCCTCGTCATAAAACCAACAAAATCATTTCTGATTCAACCGCATTAATTGATCAAACCAAACAGTTCTCGTTGAAACCTGCTGCCAGGCCACCAAGATTATACGGCTTACCAAAAATACATAAAGTGGATACACCCCTTCGTCCCATCGTCTCTACTATCAACTCCACCACCTACAAACTGGCTCGTTTTCTGCCAGAAATCCTGCGGCCTTTCACTGGAAAAACCACCTCTGCGATAAAAAATTCTACTCGCCTGGTATCGACAATCAAGGGTATTTCCCTGTCCCCAGACGACCTGCTTGTCAGTTTTGATGTAGTTTCCTTATTCACCAAAGTTCCTGTACCTGACACCATCGCAATGATTGAAGACTTGGTTCATCAAGGACTAAACACTGAGGTACCCCCCCTGGTGAGACACTGCTTAACCAATACATACTTCACTTGGATTGGAACTTTCTACAAACTAACTGAGGGCACCCCAATGGGCTCCCCTCTATCTCCAGTTGTAGCCAACATTTTCATGGAGAAATTTGAGACTGACGCCATCCAGACTGCCACTCTGCGCCCAACCTTATGGAAGAGGTACGTGGATGACACTTTTGTCATCTGGCCACATGGCCGGCCTGCTCTAGACCAATTCTTCGACCACATCAATTCCATACACCCAGCCATCAGATTTACCATGGAAGTCGAAAAAGATGGCAAGCTACCTTTTTTGGATGTCCTAATAAAAAAAGAGACCTGATGGTTCAATGAGCCACTCTGTCTACAGGAAAGATACCCATACGGATGTTTACCTGAAACTGGATTCCCACCACCATCCATCCCAGAAGAATTCCCTCATCAAGACTCTGCACCATAGAGCCCAATGCATATCCGACCAGGAACACATAGCCAGTGAACTCAAGCACGTACACCAAGCTCTTAAGGCTAATGGTTATTCCAACTACACAATCCGTAAAGCTATCACTCCAACCATGAAGAAGTACCCTCTTGAGGAGCCTTTCAAACCCATCACTTTACCCTACATTGCGGGGATCACAAAAAAGATCTCCAAAATCTTGAATAAACACAAGATCCAGGTCCGATTCAATACATTAATAAAATCCGTGATCTGGTTCCGTCTGTAAAAGATGTGATTCCGGACATACAGTACCCTGGCGTCTACAAACTAAGTTGCTTCTGTGGTATTAGTTACATTGGAGAAACCAAACGACATGTCTCGGACCGCATTCGTGAACACAAAGCAGACCTGAAACACGGTAGGAACAACACCTCGGCCGTGGCAAATCACTGTTATAATTCAGTAGGCTCACATGACATTTACTTCTCCAAGACAGAGGTTCTTTGCAAGCCATCTAGCTACCATGAGAGCTTCGTTCATGAGGCTATCCACATATACAAACACAGAGACAATTTCAACCGAGAAGATGGATTCTGGCTTATCAATCATTGGAAAGATTTGATAAACCATTTCGGGTCTTAATTGATTGGTCACGCTTAAGGTGGCTTTCAGACCGCATCCATTATTTTTCGTCTCCCCCCTCCTCTTTTCCGAACATAGATGGACTCGTCCATCAGAACAAACTGTCAAATCCCTCTCCGTGGTGCTAATGTTAAAAAACCGCCACTTTTTTCAAAATTTCTTGCTGTGGTTTTCACACCTGATGATGATTGCTTGTGTTGCAGTCGAAACGTCGTGATAATTTTATTGTTTTATATTTGTATTATTATTTTATTGTTTCCCTTCTACGTGACTTTACCAAAAGAACCAAGAATGTGTATTGTATGTTGAACTTTTTTCGCACTGTGCATAGCCAACCGTGCTAATCGGAGGTACGGAGGAAGGACAACAACTAAACACACGAAAAAAGGTTAAACGATGATTCAGCACTCACCGTCATGCACTGCTCGCTGCCGAGAGCAAACCACATGTACACGCACACACACAGGTGCGTATGTACTGCGTACAGGTGATCTCATTATACTGTACTATATAACTCACCGCTTGTGCCCATCTTTGTCACGGCGGGCAGGAATAATTTTTAGGTCAAGAAGAGATCAGAAGCTTGTGGATGTGCAGACGCAGTTTCTAATTAGGTCAACACGCTGGCAGTGAGCTGCTGCTGCTGCTGCTGCCACTGGCTTACCATCGGCCATCAAGCAGTTCGGTGAAACAAGATTTGGGCAAAGATTAAGGCCCCCGTGTTGCAAGTTGAGTGGCATGGCTATTGTCTAGCGGGTGCGCTGGCGGTGCGCCTGCACCTTGGACCACCGCAAGCGCCCAGTGTGGCTGCCTTTGGGGATCCTCGTCCTTTTTTGCCACCAGGATCGTGAGTCGAACGTCTCAGCATCGTCATGTGAGGTGGTGGCTGCGGCCTGTGGGAGGCTTTCGCCCGGCAGTTGATTGATCATGGCCGATGACAACGACTTCGCCAGTTCTGCCCATAGCTGATAGATCGGCAGGGACACGTGTGGTGATGTAAAGCGCGGGTACTACCGCCTCTCGCAAGGCTTCTAGCCAGCATGGAAAAGTGAGTGGGTCAGCGGCCAAGGAACGGAACGCGCCCGAGAGGAGATGAAGTGGTTTTCAGTTTCAGTTTTCAGTTTATTTATTTTGGTGTAGCCCTGTGAGCCATTCGGCTCTTGAATCTGGTGCAACCACAACAAACAAAAAAAAACAAAAACACGAACAAGAAAAACATCTTAAAGTTACTATGTGACTGTGCAAACAGAAAATCCATGAAAAAACAGCAAAATATTCCTGAAAAAAGCTCCGTACACCAACACTGTGTGCAAAAAATCCCAGTGGGATACAAGTCAAACAACAACAACAACTTTGATTTAAAGCTTTCGTGACTGCAGGGATTCATATTCTTGGTTCTTTCGGTAAAGTCATGTAGAAGGGAAACAATAAAATAATAAAAATATAAAACAATAAAATTCTCACAACGTTTCGACTGCAACACAAGCAATCATAATCAGGTGTGAAAACCACAGCAAGAAATTTTGAAAAAATTGGATTTTTTAACGTTAGCACCACGGAGAGCGATTTGGCAGTTATTCAGATGGACGAGAAAACGTCTTGCTGCACTCGTCACACATGCACGGCTTCTCGCCCATGTGCTAGGGTTGAACAGCGCCCCCCCCCCCCACCAGACAGGGACAGCAGATTTTTGGCTGTTGTGGGCTCGGCTGAACTGCTTGCACCACCTCCTTTCCCCGCCGCAGGATGGTGCTCGAGCTAGCCCTCCTTGAGCTCAGCCCACGACTGGAATGTCGTTTCTTGGCCTCTCGTGTCTCTGCTGCCCAACCAGACGGCCCCACTGAAGCCCTCACAGGGGACTGACTCTTCATTCACGACCCTTGGCCGTCTAGACGATCTCCGTGAAGTTTTCCAGGAACACAGCTTGGGGTCCGTGGCAATGTTGCCTTGGCAGGAACACAGCTTGGGGTCTGTGGCAATGTTGCCTTGGCAAGAACACAGCTTGGGGTCCGTGGCAATGTTGCCTTGGCAGGAACACAGCTTGGGGTCCGTGGCAATGTTGCCTTGGCAGGAACACAGCATGGGGTCCGTAGCAATGGTGCCTTGGCAGGAATACAGCTTGGGGTCCGTGGCAGGAACACAGCTTGGAGTCCGTGGCAATGTTGCCTTGGCAGGAACACAGGTTGGGGTCCACGGCAATGTTTGCCTTGGCAGAAACACAGCTTGGAGTCCGTGGCAATGCCGCCTTGGCAGGAACACAGCTTGGGGTCCGTCGCACTATTAACTAGGCCTCACTCAGGCTGTGCCAGGTGCACGATTTACTCGGCCTCACTCAGGCTGTCATGTGCAGTACTACCTAGGCCTCACTCAGGCTGCGCCAGGTGCACGATCAGCTAGGCCTCACTCAGGCTGTGCCACGTGCACTATTAACTAGGCCTCACTCAGGCTGCGCCAGGTGCACTATCAGCTCGGCCTCACTCAGGCTGTGCCACGTGCACTATTAACTAGGCCTCACTCAGGCTGCGAAAGGTGCACGATTAACTAGGCCTCACTCAGGCTGCACCAGGTGCACGATCAGCCAGGCCTCACTCAGGCTGCACCAGGTGCACGATTTACTCGGCCTCACTTAGGCTGTGTCATGTGCAGTATTACCTAGGCCTCACTCAGGCTGTGCCAGGTGCATGATTAACTAGGCCTCACGCTGCTCCAGGTGTACTATTAGCTAGGTCTCACTCAGGCTGCGCCACGTGCGTGACCAACCAGGCCTCACTCAGGCTGTGCCACGTGCGTGACCAACCAGACCTCACTCAGGCTGGTGACATCAGTTTGTGTGCCAAGTGGGGTCGTGGAAGGTGGCACTGGTGGATTGTGGGTGGAGGTAGGCTCTCATGCAGCAGTGGATTAACTATGGCTGACGATGATGATGAGGGCTACACAGGTTCGGTCTCTCAATGTGATTCCATGCGTGCACCTCTCCATGCCTCCTTGCCCACTTTTCAGCTCTCGTACTCATATTGGTTGAGGGTGTCTCATGATTCCAATTTTAGCACGGTTTGGATACGTACGGTGCGAAAGAGGATCAACATACATGCAAAGATACATTCCGGGCAGGGGGGGGCATGGGGGGGGGCACCAGGACAGCCATTCTGAAACAAGAGACAAACCGGGACATTGGGTGGCCTTGCTGAGATTGGCCTCTCTCTCGAGGGCTCTCTAGAGAGGGGGTCTCTGTACATCATGCAGCAGAGGCTCTCTCTGCCGGCAGTGCGCGTGAGCGAGGGCGCTGCGGTGGCGAGATGTTAACTACCTCGCCTGGTACACTGCAGGGCATGAGTTCGATCCTGACCCTGACGCCTGCTGTATATTTGAAGTTTTCGTGTCTCTCTCCCCATGGTCGCGTGGACTTTTCTCCGGCTTCTCCCGTTTTTGCCCCTTAACACTTACAATCAACATCACGCGTTCAGAGTATTTGGCTGCAATACATTTCCACGTGATAAGCCACTTCGTTGAGCTATCATGTGTGACCAGGTTGCTTCTGAAAAATAGCTAGCTTAGTGGGCCTTAACCTGGTAAAACACAAAACATATTTTAGTAGTTTAGAGTGACTGCAGAGGGCTGCGACTTAAGCTCTACCCAAGTACATGGAGCGTGGAACTCGCGAGTAATCATCACTCAAAGCAATTAACCCCCCCCCCCCCCCCCCCATGAACTGAATTGAATACCGCTTGCGTCCACCCGCATTGGGGGAATTGCAGATCTTCTGCTGAGTCGGCCAAATTGGTTTAGCCACAATCAGCTTCGGTCGCTCTCATTAATTCCCCATGTGCCCTTAGGGGGTCCCTCCGCCCTTAGGGGGCCCCTCCACCCCCCCCCCCCCCCAATGGGCGGCCAACCACCCACGGCGGCGTCGGTGCCACCAGCAGCGGCGATCCCAACAAGAGCGCCATGGTCAATACACTGCCGGATGAAGGCCTCCCTCCCCGCGCCTCGTAGGTCACATGCGGTCGTATGACCATACTTTCACCTCGCCGCTCACTGTGGGTTGGTGGATCGTGGTGCTTGGGTAGATAGGTGGGGGCGGGGGGGGGATCAGTGCTGATATCACTCGCCGCTGACGTTAGCCGTGGCGAGAAATGGACCGGGTTCATATAACCTGGTGCACTAACCACAACCCCACCACTCTTCCAGCCCCCCACCACCACCACCTGCCCCCCCAACGATTGGCTTCCAGCCCCTTTTGTCAGTCCACATTGTGTCAAGGTGGTTATTTGATCATACCTTCCCACGCTGGTCAGTGCACGTTGGTAAAGCCGGTGCGGCTCATCTTTCACTAAAACGAAAGGGCGTATGATGGTGATGACGAACGTGGCAATGTTGGTATCTATGATGACTTTAACAATGACGGTGATACTGACGTAAAAAATGACGATGACGACTATCATTATTATTACAATGACTCGTCGCCGCCAGGCTTGCGAGGACCTGGACATGAGCGAAGAGTCGGAAAGGCTCAAGAAGGGTCAGAAGATCATCGCAGAGCACATGGATGACAAGAAGCCCGCCTCGTTCTGCTCCTTCCTGAGCGCCGCGGCCATGGAGGCCGCCCGGGCCCACGGCTCCTTCGCCGAGGCCCTGGCGGAGACGACGGAGTTCTTGCAGTCGCGCACCCTCGCCGAGTACGTGGAGAGCCCGCGCTACCTGCGCTACCTGCAGTTCAAGTGGCTCGAGATGCAGCCCATAGGCGAGGAGTGGTTCTCCGACTTCCGCGTGCTCGGAAAGGGCGGCTTCGGTGAGGTGTGCGCCTGCCAGGCGAAGGCGACGGGCAAGCTGTACGCCAACAAGAAGCTCAACAAGAAGCGGCTGAAGAAGAGGGGAGGCTATGAGGTGAGGAGGTAGTGGATGACAATGGTGGTGGCGATTGCGATGATTCTATTCTATTCTCGTGTATGTCGGTAGCAGCAATGTGGTTCAGGAGCTGAATGCCAATGTCGAGGATATGATAGCCAAGACGAGAATACTTTAGGAGAGAGTTTTTTTGTAGTGTTGCTGCTCATCCTTCTCCATTGACATTGATAATCAACGGTAGGCTATGTACGGTGCGAAAGAAGTATTATACGGTCCATGTTTAAGGCTGCATGGCCACAATCGCACTACTGTAGCACGTCTTTCATTTTCCATCTACGAAGGTTAATGGAGACGATCGTGATTAAAATGAGATTCATGATGGCGTGGAGTAAGGTGGACCAGGTGGTTCAGAGGTCAGAAGCACCCACAGTCACCACTGAGGTCCTGGGTTGAAATCCGTGTTGTCAGCCGCCCAACTACATTGATTCAACCAACCGGCTTCTCAAGTGCAGTGAAGTCGCTGGTCTCAGTTCGGTCACCATTGATTTGACTCAAAAGACTCACATACTGTATTTAGAATCAACATGCGTTGTGAGTATTTAGCTGCTTATAAATTTCCACATGATGATAAGTCACTTATTTTTTTCACATGGAATTATGGGGGATTGCAACAGATTACAAATTCACGTCGAGATTTGATATTAATTCGACTGATTCAGGAGGAGCCGCTTGTATTTGTTTTCAGATCACTGTTGAATGATCTGATTGGGGCAGTCGTTCACGATGTTGCACGGTCTGAGGTGTCGCACCACCACAATCACAAACTGGACTCTCGTTAATGTTCCATTCATGGAGAATGCCACTTCGTTGAAACTATCATTTGCGATGGCCAGGTTACTCCTGAGAAAGAGCTGTATAGGTCAATGGGCCTTTACCTGGATAAAATAAAATACAAATATTTAATTAGTTATATAGTCGCATAGAGTGAGTTGCGATTCAACTGGGTTGTCGAGTGTAGCAAATCGCTGTGTTTCACGGAACAAGAAGATCCCAATTTTAGTTTTGTTCCCCCGCCATTTTGTCTCATTCGACAATTCCAGCCACAACAGGGCCTCGGCCACAACAGGGCCCCGGCCACAACAGGGTCCCTGCCACAACAGGGCCCTGGCCGCTGCTCTCGATGACCAACAAGGAGACATTAATCCGCACCATGCGCGAGATATCAGCCACACTCATGGGGGGGGGGGGGGGGGGGGGGGAGATTATCTTGTGACCTGGCAACGCACATGGATTCTTGAGTGTTTGCTGCACTCGTTCCATCTCTGCAAAGGGGGTTCTCCACGGTTAACCAGCGTGCGTGTTCACAGTTTACGGGTCACGCCGAGTGCGGTCAAAGGTTTCGCTCTCGGTTGAGGGGCAATAGTTCCCCTGCCCCTGCTTTAAACTAACGGCTTTAGACTGACAAGACTAAACCCGCAAGACAGACGAGACCAACGAGACAAACCGAGAATTGCTTCTTACGTCGGGTGACACACCCCCCCCCCCCCCGCCGCCACACACCAGTGGTAATCCGTCAATATCGCCCAGGTTTGGTGAAATGATTCTTGAATTGGTTCGTGACAATGCAATTCAGAATCACGGGGGAGGGCGAATCGACCGTCAAGTCGACGCCCACCAGCGGGATCTCTGCTCTGGCAATAAGATGCCTCCGTCTCACAAAGCCCAGAGCCGACTGTTGTTTTCCACATTGGAGGTGGTCACTCTTTGCCGGCCTCTGCTCCCATAGTCTACAATCCTCTTCCGCGTGAACTCCTCCGTGCGGTTGTGACTCTGCACCTCGTTCAAGTCGAACCCCGAACACTCTGATTTGCATTTCATGTTTCGCATTTTACTTATTTTTTTACTTTGCAGTACTCTGCATGTCCGTTACCCTACTGGTGCCCAATTCGTTCCATGCTTCATGTTTCCCGTTGAGGCAACTGGAAACTAAAACTAAACTATTTTAATTTTAGCAGGTTAAGTCCTACTGATCTATATAGCTCTGTTTCAGAAGTGACTTGGTCACAAATGACAGCTCAACGAAGTGGCTTAGCACGTGGAAATGTATAGCAGCCAAATACTCTAAACTGTTTCTAAAAGGGGAGGGAAAAATCGGAGAGTCACGCGAACTCCAAACATACAGCAGCAGGCGTCAGGGTCGGAATTGAACTCACGCCATCCTGTATACCAGGCGAGGTAGTTAACATCTCCTAGCCACTGCAGCGAGAGAGATGCGGTTGACACAAAGATTCGGCTGTTTTGGCGATGCGGTTGCCACAGAGACGGTGTGCACTCTCGCGTGTCGGCGTCGCTCGCCGCCGTTGCCGTCTCTCGCCGCAGGGCGCGCTCGTGGAGAAGGTGATCCTGGAGAAGCTGCATAGCCGCTTCATCGTGTCGCTCTCCTACGCCTTCCAGAGCAAGCTGGAGCTCTGCCTCGTCATGACCATCATGAACGGCGGAGACCTCAGGTGACGGCGGGATAGCCCGCACGAATCGGGCATGCCAGGAGGAGACGATACGTCTTCTCTTCCGAGAACAACCGGAGCTCGCCCGGACAACTATTGTTGTTCGTGTCATTGCGACAGAAGAGACTCAACACGTTCGCCAATAACACTACGGCATTGAAAGAAAAAAAAACATCTGGCCCTTCTCCATTGCATTTTGCGCTAAAATAGATAGACGTTTTGGCAATGCCGGAAACGTCACCGATTACACGAGCGGGGGGGGGGGGGGGGCAAAGGTCACCTCCAGGGTCCCCGTCGATATCACGGTTTCATCTCCCAGGGCCATCTTCTGGAGTCATTTTCTTCTGGTGTGGTTTTCTGAGGTCATGTTGTGGACTCATCTCGCGTGGTGATGCTGCATGATGGTGGTGCGTGGTGGTGCGTGGTGGTGCTGTGTGGTGGTGGTGCATGGTGGTGGCGGTGCTGTGTGGTGGTGGTCCACGGCGGTGGTGCTACGTGGCGGTGGCGGTGTCTCCGAGGCAGGTTTCACATCTACGATGTGGACGACGCCAACCAGGGCTTCCCGGAGGCGCGCGCCTTCTTCTACGCGGCGCAGATCGTGTGCGGCCTCGAGCACCTCCACCAGAACCGCATTGTCTACCGCGATCTCAAGCCCGAGAACGTGCTGCTCGACGACATGGGTGACACAGCGTCCACCCTGCCGCCCCCGCTCCTGCGCGTGTCCACCCGTCCACTCGCGAGCCACTCGCACGTCCTTCCACCACGCTACCTGTCCAGCGTGTCCACTCGTATCCGCGCGCCAGTGTATCTGTCCACATGTCCACTCGTCTACCTGCACACCTGTCCAACGTGCCCACTCGTATCCGCGCACCCGTGTAACCGTCCACGTGTCCACTTCCTCTCACCACGCTACCTGTTCACGTGTCCACTTCCTTTGACTGCTCCCATTAAAAGAACTTTGAAGCAAATCATTATTTGTTCATCAAAGCACGTGAACTGAAGAATAAAAATGAAGAACTGAATTTGCAATAATAATAATAGCAATGCGCTGAAAACGATATAATGTACCGCATCATCGTGAGGCATTGCACTGCGAAAATCCCTGCCGTTTTCTCAACCGTCTGTGAACAACACCAAGAGGTTCCTCGCTAACAGCCCCGTTGCGTGTGTCCGCAGGCCACGTGAGACTCTCCGACCTAGGTCTCGCTATCGAGATGAAGGAGGGACAGGACATGACGAAAGGCTACGCCGGGACACCGGGTGCGGCAAATCTCTCTGCTCGCTTCTCTTCGTAAACTCTACTCCCTTGTCCTCTCCCGCACGGCGATTGCGCCGCTCGCTGGCGCCGCGTCACGACACACGAGGAGCCGTTCGGAACGCTCGCGGAGAAGCGCGACCCTCTGTGTGCGCACGCGTGCGTTCGTATGTACGTACGCACTGTACGTGCGTGGTCGTCATTGCGCGTGCGCCCGTCCGTACGTGCGTTTACAGGCTTCATGGCGCCGGAGCTGCTGAAGGGCGAGGCGTACGACTACTCGGTCGACTACTTCACCCTCGGCGTCACCATCTACGAGATGATCCAGGCTAAGGGGCCGTTCCGCTACCGCGGGGAGAAGGTACTCAGAACGCGAGGAGGTGCAATAGGGATGCACGCGGAGACTCAGTGGGACACAAGGGGACATGTGTGGACACGCCGGGACACAATGGGGACACGCGAGGACATGTGGTGGACACGCGGGGGGGCGCAATAGGGACACGTAGGGACGTGGAGACACGCGGGGACACGATGGGGACACGCGGGGACACTTGGCGGACACGCGGGGGGATGCAATAGGGACACGTGGGGACGTAAGGGATGCGCGGGGACGCAAGGGGAACACGTTGTGACATGTGGGGACTCAATGGGACGCATGGGGACAAGCGGGGACATGTGGGGACATACAGTACCAAGGAGGGATGTGTGGGGACACAGAGGGATGCACAGGGAGAGGGAGGGACGCACGGGGGGGGGGTATGCGGGACGTGTGGGGGGGACACTACTTTATAGTTTATTAAAAGCAACTTAAGGGTTAGGATTTTCATTTAAAGGCCAAGAGCCTTACATGACATCTCATCTCAACCATTCCAATGCCCTGCTGCTATATAGCCAAGGGGACCCTCCCAGTGGCAGCTGCCCCTGTGTGGCACAAGGTGTATGCAGCAGGCACCGACCTGCAAATGGGCATTGCCGGCCTAATTGTCCAGCTAGACCGAATCCTCCAGCTGTGTCCTCTCGTCACGACGAGGTGGAAGAGTAGGCCAAATACCCTCCAGAACTATTTTTTTTCATTTTACCAAGTAAGGCCCACTGAGCTATATAGCTCTTTTTCAGAAGTGACCTGGCCGCAAATGGATCATGTGGAAATTGATAGCATCCAAATACTCTAAATGCTTGTCGACTCTAAATGTGGAGGGAAAGACCGGAGGACTCAGAGAAAAATCCACACGACCACGGTGAGAATGGACACGCCAGCTACAAATATACAGCAGGCATCGTCAGGGTCGTGATTGCACCCACGACCTCCTGTATAAGAAGCGAGGTAGTCAACATCTCGTCACCGTGGCGCCCTCCCTCCGGTGGAGGCCCTCTTCCACCGGCGGTGGCGTCTGCGGGCAATGGCAGAGCGGTGGCGGCTGCGCGCCCTTCGCGTTGACAAATTGATATATACATTCCATCGTAAAGCCGGGCCCCCTCGACTCAACGCTATGGCTGTTCTCCCCTGGGCGGCGACGAGGTGGAGAACAAGGAGGTGAAGCGGCGGATCCTGGAGGACGACGCGAGCTACTCGGAGCGCTTCAGCGCCGACTGCCGCGCGACGTGCAAGGCGCTGCTGACCAAGGACCCCGCGATGCGCCTCGGCTTCCGCGACGGCTCCTGCGGCGAGCTAAAGAAGCACGGCTTGTTCGCCTCCATCAACTGGGGCCGCCTGCAGGCTGGTACGCTGGGCCCGCCCAGTCACCACAGAGACAAAGTTCCTCGCTATGTCACAACTTAACGGGCTGTTGTGGGCAAGCGCTGTTAGTGAAGTGGCACCTATGTAATGTCGGCGCGGTGGTGTGGTCGGCGCCACGCCACTGGCCGCCTAAATCTCCCCGCCGCCAATGTTTATTATACGCCGCCGCACGGGATAATTTACTCATTTGAGGCTGAGCCGACCTAGGGGATATTCATCACCGATGACGGCCGACAGCAGGACCTGTATTCGGCTCGCCGTGATCGTAGTGCAGGGATCGCCGAGTCACGCAGACGGTGGGGGGGGGGGGGGGGGACACGTGGGGACACGCAGGGACACGTGGGGACACGCAGGCCCATGGACAGTCAGACTCTCGTAGTTCACGCTAAAATCAGAGAGAGATCCTGCTCGAATGAGCCAGTGGTGGACATTCTACATTCTTTTTGTTTCTTAATTTTGTTTTATTGAACCCAATTGAACATCCATAACAGAGGGCACATGAACGTACCGGAGTAAGGCTTGCGAGACGAGGGATTGTGCCCATGGGTGATCTTTCATCCCTAAATATTGGTTTGTTATGAACCCTGTCTCGTTCCGAGACATCAGAACATGCAAGCGGCTCAGCGTTAATTTTATTGAGAGAGGCGTAGTAGCGCCGTTTGTTTTTAAAGACATTGTACTCACCGCAGACAACCGTAGCGACACGACCGCACTCTATGATAGCTGTTGTTAAACTGTGCCATTTGCCGTCTCACGTGGCCTTGTGGGAGCCTGGGTACCGATAAAAGTTATTTAATTTTTTCTTCCGATTCCGGTCTGATGACGTACACGTACATCATCGGAATTGGTTCACGTGTACCAGGTTCATTGTATAACCATGGTGGGGGGTGGGGACTGGGGTGGTGGTGGGGGCATTCCACGGTTGCGACATTCCGATTGGGAGTCGTTCGTTGTCGCGCTGAGCCACCTGGCCGGTCCAGCTGACCACAGCCTCCTCGCATAGCCTCTCCAAATACAGCCTTGCTGCCTGAGCTCCTCCACAGCGTCCTACAGCTTCCCATAGCCTTCAACAGGCGGCTGACATAGCAACCTGACACCCATTTGGGCATTTTTACTAAACACTGGTGGACACTACCTCTTTATTATCACTGCCTACTGGCCCTGACGCGCATACACATTTCACGTTGCCCTTCGCCCTTGCCCCCCCCCCGCTCCCCACTGTCCCCCGATGCCCCTCGCTCGCTGCCCTCCCCCAGGGCTCCTGGATCCGCCGTTTGTGCCGGACTCCAAGACGGTGTACGCCAAGGACGTGAACGAGGTGGGGGCGTTCTCCTCCGTGAGGGGCGTGAACCTCGTGGAGGAGGACAAGGCCTTCTTCGACTCCTTCTCCACGGGCAGCATCCCCATCCCCTGGCAGGTGCGCCTCCGACGACAGTCGTCGCCACCGGCATCAACGTTCCGTCCGTGTATGGGCGTATGTACGTTGGACTTCTTCCACGCCGTGTAGCCAACCGTGCTAATGGGAGGTGCGGGGGAAGGACATCACCGGCCATTGCGGGACAGAGGGATGCTCGGGGATATTTTAATATGTTATGAGACGGTTCGCGTCGCAATCTCCCCGCACAGCTCGAGTGTACGCGGTGAAGGAGCGCTTCGACCGCAGTTCACAGAAGCTTTGCAGTCAAATGGCAATGCTCATCATGGAAACGATAATGTAAACTAAACTATTTAAACTCTTTTTTTTATTTTATCAGGTAAGGCTCACTGAGCTATATAGCTCTTTTTCAGAGGCGACCTGGCCACAAGTGCTAGCTCAACGAAGTGGTTTATCATCATGTGGACATTTATAGCAGCCAAATACTTTAAATGCATGTCGACTCTAAATGTGGGGGGGGGGGGAATCCGGAACATGCAAACTCAAAATATACAGCAGGTGTCAGGGTCGGGATCGAACCCACGACCTCCTGCATACGAGGCGAGGTCCATTAGCATCTCACCACCGTGGCGCACCCTGTGAGGTGCCATTAAACGTGTAGGCCGCGAGTAGAATGACAGGCTGCGCGTACAGCATTTATTAAAATCACTCCAGACTTATCTTCTTGTGTCGATATTTGTTTTGGCTAACCATCGAACAAAGATGGCAACTGCATCGCAAGCTTTCAGATGCGCTTCTGCGGCTGTCTGAAAGACTCTTCCTTCCGATATTTGGAAGCCACTAGAGTTATGCACTTTTAAATAATCTAGATTGAAGATTAATTTCTTTATAACTGCTTTTTCTGTTTAGTTTGTTGTCCTTTCCCCGCACCTCTGATTAGCATGGTTGGCTACGTACAGTGCAAAAGAGATTCAACATACAAGCATACAAACGAGTAGGCCGCAAGTTAGAATTACAGGCTGCGCATATAGCGTTTTATCCAAATTACTCGTGACTTATCTTCTTATCTCGATTCATATAGTGCCTCATCATTCCAGGCTGCTCAACAATTACCATATTTTCCCGCATATAACCCACGGGGTATACCACTTTCTACAAACAAGACCCTGCGGGGTATATGAAGGTGCGGGCTATCCCAAAAATATCTTACACGTGTGACATGTCATGACTCGTTTATATTTTTTATGGTAGGACTCTACACTATGCAACACTGACCTTTGACTAAAGCACTGCTGAATAAACCACTCACACTAAAATTTCCCATGTTATCACGTTTTAAATGAATTGTTTATACAATTAACCGACAATATTTGAAGTGGGCGCACTTTGTTTACTGGCGACGGGACAGCTGGGGGGAGAGAGAGGTGGGGGTTGGGGGGTGGGGCAGCTGGGGGGAGAGAGAGGTGGGGGGTGGGGCAGCTGGGGGGAGAGAGAGGTGGGGGGTGGGGCAGCTGGGGGGAGAGAGAGGTGGGGGGGGGTGGGGCAGATGGGGGGAGGGAGAGGTGGGGGTTGGGGCAGCTGGGGGGAGAGAGAGGTGGGGGTTGGGGGGTGGGCAGCTGGGGGGAGAGAGAGGTGGGGGTTGGGGGGTGGGGCAGCTGGGGAGAGAGAGGTGGGGGTTGGGGGCGTGGCAACGGCGTCACCGTAGTGCCGCTATAATCTGCGCAGTGCGCAATCTACCAGTGCTAAAACTGTACAGTACTTACTAATCGACCAGTTATGTGTTACTTATTTATTGGATATTTACTTTTGTTACTTGTTTACTGTTTTAAGTTCACTCGTTTCCGGCTAGTTTGTTTTCTTTGTGTTTTTTTATTATTTTAATGTTAACAATTGATAGTGTAATGTATTACAAATGTAAACTTCGTATTAATATGATGGAATTAAGCTGTGGTAACGACGTTAAAGATATGAATGCATGCGGGGTATATGGTATTTTTGCGGGATATATGTGTTTGCGGATTATATGCGTATGCGGGCTATATGCGGGAAAATACATTATATTATAAATTGTACATATGATGACGGTGGTTTAAATAAAGAGCGGGTTTGTTATTAAAAGTGTAGTTATGGTGAGAGTTGGGAGAACAGGTGGGAGTGGTTAACGGAGTGGTTGGCTGCTGTCGTATTCAAACCGCCTGGAAATAAACTTGGCTGGCAGAGTGGACACTCCCGGGGTAATTGTTGAAAGGAGCCACGAGGAACAACACAACCATAAACCCGCCCTCCGTGCGACGTGGCCTCTCTCAAAGATGTCCTCAATCGCGGCCTCCCCCCCCCTTCTGTTTATCTCTGTCCACGATATTTACTCAACAACTTCTCCCAGTTGTATCAATTGTTCAGATTGCTTCTGTAAACTTAAATCTCTGTTTCCCCCGGCTTCTTGCTGTCATCATCATCATCACGATCCATGGGCAGGTAGCCCGTGATTGTCCACTGCACATTTCGTCATTTGTTTCCACTTTCCTCTCTCTCTTGTGGTGCCAATCTCTTATGTCGTCATAGCCACTCTGTTAGTTCTTCCTCTCTCTCCGGTGACACTTTTGCTGCACCTAGAATGTTCTCAGTCAGAACCGCATTGTTGTTCACTCTCGTTTTCTCTCATTACACGTTCAAGAAATCTAACCCTACCGTTCTCCACTTATTCCAATTGATGATCTTGTTGTGTACCCTGCTGCGATCCGTCACACATTCACGTTGCTCAATCGTGTGTCTCCGTCCGTGCAACGTTTAACAACCCTTCTTCTTGAAAACCACACTTGAACGCAAATAGCACAAACAGCAGCAAAGGCCGTACGGGCACCTCAACGTGTTCCGAGGAACGCGCGTGCACACATTCGCAGAGTGCTGAACCCTTCCGGAAGCGTTTCATTAGCGGCATAAAAGCTTGCGGGGTAACAGCCATCAGGGTCAAATGCGTTGGCATGTTTAATAAAAAATTATTCCCAATGCAGCCGGTTTCCACTGGGGTTAATCTTTCACAGCAACGCAACGTCACACTAAAGTTGTGTTCGTGTTGGATCGTCTTTACGTAAGTTATGTTTGCCCTCCCACCCCCCCCCCCCCCCCCAGCTACTGATGGAGGGACATAGCTGATGCTCGAACGCTTTCAATCTAAGTTGGAAAGCGTCAAAGAGAAATTTACCTCGTGCCGATCGGACCGTCCGGGAGGGGTGGGCGGGCGGGCGATGAAGGATGCTAACCTGATACCCGCGGCCTTGTGGCAGCTGACGTGCCATGCTGACAGCCCTTGTCCACCACCGCTCCCTCTCGCATTCTCCACCACCTCTATCGCCGCTCACCCCACGCTCTCTCGGCCGCACAGCTGCCTGCTTTGGAAAGTGAAACAAAAAACAGGGGGGGGTGGGGGGGGAGAGGATTTGGTATTTTTTTGTCTCGGAGAAGAAGCAGGGGCCCACGATCGTAATCGCACGAATCGCTGGTGACGGCGGAGCTGACGCGGCTCTTGCCGAGTGTGTACATGGGTAGGGGACGGGAAAGCAGGGGCACGGCATTTACTCTTCAAATGTTTTTTGTCTTTCTCCACAAATTGCATCCCGATCGCGCGATCAGCGTCGTGTCACGAAAGTGTATATCGCAGAGCTACCTCTGGGATCCCTTCAAGTGACTGCTGGCCCACACACTAGGGGGCACTATAGCACTCTCCCGCCCGCCCTGCCACAGAGAATAATATTCGTCACACGAGAAGTAACAACTTTTATTTTTAATGTCTAGAGATCAAATGTAGCGAACGTAAGTGCGGAACCAAATTGCATGTAAAGTGGGTATTGTTGTTCAGTCGTCGGAGACAGGCGGCTGAACCCAGGATCTTAGCGTCAGTTCAACACAGATATCTGAGCCACTCGGTTCAAAGCAGGAACATTTGGGTGTCATGTACGTACGTATGTTGAACTTCTCTCGCACTGTACGTAGTCAATCGTGCTAGGTGCGGGTCATTGACTTTGAAGGGCCCACTGGTGCGCCATTGCGAACATTATGACCGTCTCGCCGTCTCTCCCCCCTCTCGTGCCTCCCGATTGTCCATCCCTGGCAGGAGGAGATCATCGAGACGGGTGTGTTCGAGGAGCTGAACCTTGGCCGGCCGACGGCTCCCTGCCCGACAACCTCTGCAAGGACAAGATCCCGACATCAGATGGAGCCGGCGCTCGCTCCTCCACATGCACCGTGCTGTGAGCCGGCGGTGCTGCCCGGCCACTCAGAGGGAAGATTTAGCACTGCCACGTGTGTGGGAGGTTGCTCATGGAGCTCCTGGAGAATCTTGAGTACTACCCCTCCTAGAGAGCCTCGTGGAGATATACCACCGGCGTAGGTTCTCGCGGTTGTCGGGTCATCCCGCGCGTTGCTCGGCGCGACGTCCGACGTTTCGCCCCACGTGCTGGGAGCTTCTTCAGTCACTGGATCCGGCTTTCCTATCTGTTGTGAATTTCAGGGCAGTCTTTTGTTGGAAACCGAATTCATTTCCCGAAAAGGCTCCCAGCAGCACATGCGGCCGAAACGCCGGACATCGTACTGAACAAACACGCGGTACAACCTGTCAACGTGCATCATGTTTATAGTTTTATCATCTGTAACGCTTTCGAACGAAGGCTGTCGGCATTAGTTGCATCCATCTGTCCATTAATCGGGCACAACTATAATGTGCGCTAAGATGATCCAATATAAATGTATTTTTATTCGCATTTTTAAGTTGTGTCGATATTAGGGACCCCTACCCCTTCAGTCCAATTATTGACAAGGTTGGCCCAAAACTGGATGAACATTTTTAAAACAGTAAATAACGCCCTTCCCCCCCATGGTGATGATGGCGTCACACGTTACATGCGTGCGCTATCCGATGAGGTAAGCACAGGCAGCGTCACCAGGCGATGCCGCGCGTTGCGGCTGTAATTAACTAAAACTCAACGCACGTGTGATATTCGGCTGAGAACACATTCGTAGTTTACCTGCGTGGAATGGGCTGTCAGTGTAGAACGCGTCGACGTTTTCAATTCATTCGTAAAGCAATCGGTTAAATATTCAGCCTGGATAACTAATCGAGTTAACATTTCCAGCTTCATTGTATGTACAATTAAGCAAATTATCACAGTTGCAATGAAACATAAGGATGTTTTATGTCAGAGCTCTCATAAGCTGCATTTGCATGTTGCCCGAAGACCATGGCTTGATGGCAATTTTTGCGGAATTGTTGCCGGCAATTGTTACAGGAAACAGTTCTAAAAAATGGCCGCCCAAAAAAATGCCCCCCCCCCATACTAGGAAAAGGAGATGGCAACCTCCAATCAGATTGCAGAAAGTCGTCACATGGACTACCCAAGGTTGCATGATCTCCCTCTAAACAATCGCATTGTTACACTTGTCAACAAACTCTTTGTCTTCTCCTGCGTAGTTTTTTTTCTAGGTTGAGCTGCTGTACGGCTTCTCTGCGGTGCGTTCTCAGGTTGTAACGCGTGTCGTCGACATTGTACCGAAAAATGACACGCAGTGCAAACCAAAACCACATGGGAGAACCAAACTCTTATTTTCGTTGGCTTGATGGAACTACGTCATCTTACGCCATTACTGTACCAAGTTGCCATATGCTGGTTGTAATCTCCAGCGAAATGTCATGCAAAATTGTCAATATTTTGCTCGTTTTACCAACATTCCTCCTCCAGTTTTGCTGAAAAACCAATCCAATTGGCATAATTGCCGACATGACAACTTGATTTGATTTGCTCTGTTGGGTTGGTGAAGGGCTATAGTTAATTAATTTACAGTATATCCACACGACAATCTAATCCTAAAGAAACTATGAATCATGAATGCACTTCCGAATAGCAGGGTTGGCTACGTATGGTGCTAAAGAAGTTCAACATACATACATAATATCAGTCGTGAAACTCTACGTATAAAATCAAATTGCCATAGTTGTTTGTAGGGTAAAGGTGTTACGAGCAACAATAGCCCGAGTGCATCATGGGTATAAAATTGACGGTGGACCGTCCAGGTAGTCGTCAGCACAGGTGACCGTATCGTCAATGCTTCTGGGTTGCATCTGTGGAGGAAATTTTTTTCCAAAACCGCATCGTGAAACCTTTTCCAACTCTACCCGGAGTGTTACAAAATGCCTCTGGCACCAATCCAGAACCTCAGCAGCAGGGCTTCAGTGAAAACCGCCACCCACCGCCTTGTCGGGTTCACCCCCATTGGGCTCACTTCAAAAAACTATTTTAAGTCTCAACGCGTTGCACATGCCTGATGATTACTAAATGCGTCGTGCGTGAGAGACAGCTCTGGGTAATCGGGTGCCCCATGGGAAAAAACAAAACTAATACCAATACCCTCCATTCGCCACTAAGTGACGGTGACGCCACCATGGCGCCTGTGCCAGGCCAGGTGCACTTTGAGGCCACCTCAGGTGTCAAAGGCTCGCTGACAGGAGGTCTCGGGACAGACCCAGGTGCCATGGGTTGGCTGACTGAGAAGACTGGTAGATGCACCAACTGTACCCCCTACTGTGCCAACTTGCTGCATTTTAGCCACCCGGTGCTCCGCTCGTTGTTGTGAGCGTCGCTCCTCTGCCCTCCGTTGTTGTTGGAGGGCGACTGCTTCCAATTGCCCGGGAGCGTCCTTCACGATCCTCCTCCACAGAGGCCGATCTTGACACTGCTGGTACCAGTCATCGGCAAGTCCACTCAGCTCCAGATCCTCCCGTACCGCATCAGTCCATCGTTTCTCCAGCCCATGTCGTGCCCGTTTAGCCCCCTCTATACAGCCAAACAGAAGCTGCTTGGACATGTGGGCTACATGACCCAGCCAATGCAGACTTACTTGCTGGAAGAGCTCACTAATGGGAATGTGTCCAGAGCTTTCAAAGGTTTGTGAGCTCTTCACACAATCTCGCCAGGTTAAGCGCAGGATGGATCGTAGGCATACCAGCCTGAATGTTTCTAACTGACGCAGATGTTCCATTAGAGGGGTCCATGTTTCACAAGCATAGAGAAGGGAGGCCATGACTGTGGCCGAGAAGACCCGAAGCTTCTTGCGTGCCTGGCAAGGCGATGTTACATAATCTTTACCAGGACCTTTCCCGGCACACTGAGAAGAGAGATGCTCCTATAGTTGTTACGATACATGCGGTCCCCCTCTTTAAGAGTGGGACCACCAGGGCATCCTTCCAATCCTGTGGTGATGTCATGTAGGGCAGTCTGCACACAGATGCCACCCTTTCCGCAGCATTTCACTTGGGAGATCGTCTCTGCCCAGCGCTTTTCCTGGTCTCAGACTTCAGATCGCCCCTCGCACTTATAAGCTCGTTGGAAACACACCCATACACACAAACGCGCTTGACAAGAGCTTTTCTCCCTCCGTCTTTGAATGATTTAGCGCGTTTCTTAGCATAGGAACGTGTTTAGCAATCATCGGGCGCGTGCAGCGTGCGACCGCTCGATCTGTATTGGGTTTACGCAGTCACCCAGTGAACGCGTGGGTTCGTACAGCAACGTTGGGCCAACAACCTTGGTCCTACGGTGGAATGTCTACAGGGCGAAATAATTAATCGTAGTTTTGTTGTTGTTTAACTCTATCGCAAGAGGAATTTGGTCGGATCATTTACGTGGCCTAACCGAATATTAAAAAGAGAAAAAAATACTAAATATGAATCGGAAAGATGTGAATTGGTTAAAGCGATTTCGTCGACGGCGTTTGAAAATCTGACATAAACAAAATGGCAGCGTGATATCACGTGACCCCGTCTCCTCCTGGGGGCCTCCGTTTACAGGGCAACGTGAGGGTTGAGTAGGCCCGACTTTTCCAAAAACAAAGAAATAACTTTTAAAGCCAACAAAAGCAACGTGTTTTTTTGTGTGTGGCTACCTTAGGAAGAAATTCGCGTTTTTAGAAGTTCGGTTTGGGCAAAAACTGACAACAAAAAACCACCGTACACGTTGACACGGTGGTACCACCACCACCACCACCTTGTGTGCACAGCAGAGGCCCACACAGACAGGGGCCCGCGTGCCCTCGGCAAAGTGTTGGGTGGCCAACACCACGTCCACAGCCGCCTTTGTCTTCCCACTGCCGATGTTTACGTGCACGGCACCAGGTACTCATTTGAGGCCGAGTCGACCTCGGGGAGACCATGAACCGGTTCAGATAATTCGTAGCGCAGTGCGTTAAACTACTACACCACCTCTCCCTACATGCACACACACAAAGAACCCCCCTTACATAGCCTCGAACTCGGGCTTGCGTGGGCGGGGAGAGGCGTTCGTAGCGCAGCGCGCTAACCGCAGCGCCACCGCTCCGCTCCCCGCCACAGTGCACGCGTGCTTACCAATGTAACACGTGTGTAACACACGTCCACACGCGCGTGCGTGTGTAACACATCCACGCGCGCGTGTGTAACACACGTCCACAGGCGCGTGTGTAACACACGTCCACGCGCGCGTGTGTACATGTCGCACCAGACGTGGCACGAACACAATTGAAAAGTTCATTCACCACCGCCATCACCGTCTAACGAGTCGCTAGCCACGAACGAGTCGCTTGCTGTGTACCACCACACCGTGTACCACCACACACGTGTGCCACCACCCCCGTGTACCACCATCCCCGTGTGCCACCACACACGTGTACCACCACACCCGTGTACCACCACCCCCGTGTACCACCACACCCGTGTACCACCACACACGTGTACCACCACCCCGTGTACCACCACCCCCGTGTACCACCACACACGTGTACCACCATACCCGTGTACCACCACACACGTGTACCACCACCCCGTGTACCACCACACCTGTGTACCACCATCCCCGTGTACCACCACCCCCGTGTACCACCACACACGTGTACCACCACACACGTGTACCACCACACACGTGTACCACCACACCTGTGTACCACCATCCCCGTGTACCACCACACACGTGTACCACCACACACGTGTACCACCACACACGTGTACCACCACACCTGCGAGCCCCACGCCGCTTACCAACAACGTACTCGGGGAGAGCGCGGGCTGCTGTGGCTGCGGTGGCGCTAACCGCAGCGCCACCGCTCCCACCGCCCCACACTGACCCTGCACTCGGATGCCGGCACAACGTTGTAACAATGTCACGTGTGCTGACTGGGTTTGTCATCGTGAAGCTCGCTTTTAAAACGACAATTGTCCTTCAAAGGCGATGTAAATGGACGTAAATAAACTCGCGTGTTTAGGGATTGGATGGCCTTCGATGGTGGCCTGACTGGGTTCACTGCCGAATTATCCGGATTATAAGACGCGCTACTGACGGCGTGTTACAATTTGTTTGTTGTGTTGGTGTGGCGTGTGTCTCTGTGCGTCTCTGCGTGTGACCGTGTCAGCATACACACGGTCGTGTCGTGAGTGGTTTGCGCGCTGCTCTCCGAACCCACACCTGTTCATAGTCCATAGTTCCATTTATTTTGGTATAGCCCTGTCAGCCATTCGGCTCTTGAATCGGGTGCAACCACAACAAACACAAAACAAAAACATGAACAATAAAACATCTTAAAGTGATTATGTGACTGTGCAAACAGAAAATCCAGGGAAAAAAACATCAAAATATTCCTGAAATAGCACCGTACACCAACGCTGTGTGCAAAAATCTCAGTGGGATCAAAATCAAACAACAACCACAAGAAAACTTAGATTAATCCCTTATCAGTGCCCTACCCTAGGGGCCGTCCATAAATGACGTCACGCGATTTTGGACGATTTTTGACCCCCCCCCCCCTCGTCACACGGCGTCACAAAAAGTCAGACACCCCCCCCTCAAATATGACGTCACAAAGCTCTGCCCCCCCCCCCAAATAATATATGCTTCAAATCGCTTTAAACTATTGTCATTGTAGTGCGGATTTTATTTGACGCTGCACTCTGATGTTGTAGGAGAAAACATTTATTAAAAAGTCTAATTAAGTAGAACGTGTTGTCTATATTTATTTAAAGTTGCGCATTTTGATGTGACGTCATATTTCTCAAACCCCCTCCCCCTCGTCACAAATGTCTGACCGCCCCCCCTCCCCTAGGTGCGTGACGTCATTTATGGACGGCCCCTTATCACAGATCTTACTGGTCACCCGCGTGCCCCTTATAAATCTCAACGTTCATCCTACAAAGTCCCATCACAAGGGAGAAACGCAAACAAATAAGACAAAACATGGTTGTTGTTGTTGCCCGTATTTAAACATCTGTACGCTGTACGGACCTGAAAACTCAATGTCCCTGTACAAGATTACGGAGTAAGCCGTGTGGGTTGACGCGGTATGCGAACCCCTTGATCCGAGTTCCATATCCCTGTGGCACACTCGAAATGAAGCACGTGGGCCGGTGCAAACACATTTATTGTGGTTAACCTGTAAGATGCAACAGCACGTGTGTCAAACACAGCAATTCTTCAACCGAGTCGCCATTAACCACGTGACTGGTGTACAAGTGCGGTTATTCAATAACCCTGCCAGCCACCTACAGGCCCAACTCAGTCATCACATGCTGCTGTACACACGTGCATTGAGGCACTGCACGGCACATCAGGACTTTCACAGAATCACACTTTACTCCCTTGCTGCCCAAGGAAATTATTAAAAGACTGGTCCATTCCTAATGTGCCACATCCCGCTACGGTGACGATTATCTGAACCGGTCATGGGCCTCCCCGAGGTCGACTCGGCCTCAAATGAGTACCCAGTGGTGCAATGTGTAACAAAAAAACCCATCACCACTGGGGAGACAAAGGCGGCCGGGCGTGGTGTTGACCACCGCACACCCTCATTTGGGTGGGATGCCGCGCTTCGTAGGTGCTACTCGCTAACAGCACTTGCCCCAACAGTCTGTTAAGGCTATACGGGGGATCGTTGTCTTTGTATTTGCAAAATGTCGATTGACACCGGGCACAAATCCTGGAGTGCATCTTACTTTCCCATGCGTCTTATAAGGGTTGAAGCCAAAGTGTTTGACACCACCAGCAATGTGATGTTCACTGTCAGAGTGGTCAGTTATGTACTACTACCACAATACTACTGTTACATAACTCACAAACTCCAGAAATTTAAATAACTCGGGAAGATGAGAAACAATACTAAACAATACAACTAAACTATTTTTTTTATTTTACCAGGTAAGACCCACTGAGCTATGTAGATACTTTTCAGAAGCGACCTGGCCACCAAAGATAGCTCATCGAAGTGGCTTATCAAGTGGAAATGTATAGCAGCCAAATACTCGAAACGCGACCACGGGGAGAACATGCGAACTCCAAATATACAGCGGGCGTCAGGGTCGGGATCGAACCCATGTCCTCCAGTATACCGGGAGAGTGAGTTAACATCTCCCATCCACCGCGAGGCGGTGCCAATATGTTAAAACACCAAACAGGCAGCTATTAGAAGGCATCAAGTCTGCATTAAGCACACAGACTTGTGGCGAGACATGCAAACAAACGTGCTTTCACGTATGCTGAACTACTTTCAGCACCGTACGTAGTCCAAGCGTGCGAATCGGAGATGCGGGCTCATGTCCGTGCCGTATTGCCCTTGAGGCTGATTGTGATTGGCCAACACCAGAGACGGCCTCCTTTACGACCTTGTCTCACCGGTGCCATGGAGCAGTGCTCTTCACTCATTCTCAGTGGGGGGGGGAGGGGGGGGGCACTTTCGCCGATAAGACATCATCAGTGTCAGGCCCGCCACTCATTTGAAACCATTGTTGGGTTTCTGACATCACGATGATGGTGGGGGTGTTGTCACTTGCTGTGTCTTGTCGGGGGCCTGACGTAAGGGGCCGCACTAAAGGCCACCAGGGGGCCGCCAGTGACCCGCGGGCCTTGCGATGAAGAACGCTGCAATCGAGTAAAGAACGCCAAAATGCCAACAGCAAAATGACGATGAGAACGCCAAATAATTTCTAGCTCGGCTAAAAAACTTTTTTTTATCATCTTAAAAACTGGCAAACAAAAATTGGCCCCGTCGATTCGGGAACACTTACAGACCTTACAGATTTCCGAGAACAGCAGCAGCTACCTGAATGAGAGGACGCTTTTATTACATCGCAGTTCTTAATTTTATTGGCATTTCGAGAGCAGTCATTTGACATTGTTATTAACAGGTTTTATATTTCGCTTATATTGTATCTATACTTGCGAGTGAAGTTTATATATTTTTTACGTACAACGCTTTGAGATTCCAGTACTTCTACGTGACTTTACCGAAAGAACCGAGAATATGAAAGGCGCTGTTATAGAATTACAAAAAAACCAGAGGTTGTTACTATCATTATAATTATAACCCCTAATTTCTGACACCCATATTGGTTCCTGATATGGGAGTTGAAATGGTGCTTCTCTCTCCACTCATCGCCACCGTGGAGCCTCACGGGGACGCCCTGGGCGACAGGGGCTCGATGCACCAGGCCCCCAGGAACACCTCGTTCTGTCCCAGGCAGAAGTCTGCGGTGTTCATGTAGTCGTCGAAGGGCCTCACAGCCACCTCCTCACCTGATCAACATCCATCACCAGCAGAGACAAGGATTGCCCCGGCTAAGCCTTAACGGGGCTATTGGTTGGGTGATCATCACCACGCCTTTTGCCTCCCCAGTGGCGATGTGTTCACACACCGCACCAGCTACTCAAGTTGAGGCTGAGTCGGCCTAGGGGGAGGACCAGGACCGGTTCAGATAATCGTCACCGGTGTTGGAATCGAACTGTGGTGGTCGCGTTCGTAGTATGGCACGCTAACCGCTACACCACCACCATCACCACCCTCATTGTCATCACCATCAATTCAGATTGTAGCACAAAGCACTTTTTTTGTTTGCAGAAAGCTTCCAAATTTCTCAGCCAGAGGGCAGAGCATCAACACCCACTGTTGTCGCGTGCTGTGCTTCCACACATCTATGCGCCCCACATTCACCCAACGCACGCGAAGCCAGCATTCGTGAAGAGTTTGCATCCAGCAGTGGATGGACAACAGGGCCTTGCGTGCGTGTGTGTGTGCTTGTTGTGCGTATGTTGTGCGTGTGTGCGTGTTGTGCGTGGCCTCAGGGTGCACATAGCCTGGCACAAGCGTCGTGGTGACGTCACCGCCACTTAGTGGCGAATGGCGGTTGTTGTTGTTGTGCGTGTGTATGTTGTGTATGTGTGTTGTGCGTGTGTGTGTGCGTGTTGTGCGTGTTGTGTGCGTGTTGTGCGTGCGTGTGTGTTGTTTGTGTTGTGCGTGTGTGTGTGTCGTGTGTGTGCGTGTGTGTCGTGTGTGTGCGTGTGTGTCGTGTGTGTTCGTGTTGTGCGTATGTGTGCGTGTTGTACGTGTGTGTGTGCGTGTTGTGTGTGTTGTGTGTGTGTGCCTGTTGTGTGTGTTGTACGTGTGTGTGTGCGTGTTGTGTGTGTTGTGCGTGTGTGTAGTGGGGAGCGATAGTGTAGCGGTTAGCGCGCTGCGCTATGAACCTGGCGACCCGGCTTCGATTCCCGCTCACGGCCAACACCAGTGACGATTATCTGAACCGGTCCCGGGCCTCCCCTAGGTCGACTCAGCCTCAAATGAGTACCTGGTGCGGTGTGTAAACATTGCCACTGGGGAGACAAAGGCGGTCGGGCGTGGTGCTGGCCACCCACCCCCTCGTGTACCGTTCCGGCCTTCATAGGTGCTCGCTAACAGCACTTGCCCCTACAATCTGTTAAGGATATATGGGGGATCTTTGTGCGTGCGTGTGTTGTGCGTGCGTGTGTTGTGCGTGCGTGTGTTGTGCGTGCGTGTGTTGTGCGTGCGTGTGTTGTGCGTGCGTGTGTTGTGCGTGCGTGTGTTGTGCGTGCGTGCGTGTGTTGTGCGTGCGTGTGTTGTGCGTGCGTGTGTGTCGTGCGTGCGTGTGTGTCGTGCGTGTGTGTCGTGCGTGCGTGCGTGTGTCGTGCGTGCGTGTGTTGTGCGTGCGTGTGTTGTGCGTGCGTGTGTTGTGCGTGCGTGTGTTGTGCGTGCGTGTGTTGTGCGTGCGTGTGTTGTGCGTGCGTGCGTGTTGTGTGTGTTGTGCGTGTTGTGCGTGCGTGTGTGTTGTGCGTGCCCACCCTTGGCTAAGAAGAAGACCCCTCCGTGGTAGCTCGTCTCGAAGCAGGCACACGGTGACCCCTGCACCTGGCAACCCCTGCTGGGGACGGTGGTTAGGATCGGGGCAGTGGACACAGCAAGGGGGCCTTCCAGTAGCACCGTAATCACCACACACTCACCACACACTCACCACACACCACAAGCAGCACATGCCACGTACATAATGACTCACCACACTCACCACAAGCAGCACATGCCACGTACAGAATGACACAACACACTCACCACAATGATCACATATCACGTACAGAATGACTCACCACACTCACCACAATGATCACATACCACGTACAGAATGACTCACCACCGCACCACGATACAGTCACTAAAATATGTGCGTACAACTGACCACAACGGAAAAAGCCAAATCGAGTGCTCCACGCCACTCACAACCCACATCACAAATCACCGCTCCACGACACTCACAACCCACATCACAAATCACCGCACCACGCCACTCACAACCCACATCACAAATCACCGCATCACGACACTCACCACCCACATCACAAATCACCGCACCACGACACTCACCACCCACATCACAAATCACCGAACCACGACACTCACCACCCACATCACAAATCACCGCACCACGACACTCACCACCCACATCACAAATCACCGCTCCACGACACTCACCACCCACATCACAAATCACCGCTCCACGACACTCACAACCCACATCACAAATCACCGCTTCACGACACTCACCACCCACATCACAAATCACCGCACCACGACACTCACAACCCACAGCACAAATCACCGCTCCACGACACTCACCACCCACAGCACAAATCACCGCACCACTCCACTCACCACCCACATCACAAATCACCGCACTACGCGCACACCGCAATTCGCGAGCGGGTTTCATCACAGATTGCAACCCGTGCAGGACCTTAGCGTCACTGCCCCGGTGTCTCTGACCCGGCCACTGTGAACACACGACAGGCGATGGGGGTCAGCGGTCTCACCCGGAACTTTTAGCGAGGGTGCTTGCCATGAGCACGCGTGCCTTGCAGACTTCTTCACCCATGCTGTTGAAGTGCCGTTTGAACTTCACGGTGCTGTGACCAATCATCGCCACGGACCTGTTCGTCTTGTACGCGAGCTGGGAGTACAAACAGTCGACCACAGCACGCCCCAATCGTCATGGCCTGAAAGAGGTGTCATTGTCATTGTTGTTATCGTTTAGCGAGCGAACTCTCGTCGGCAATGCACTTTTGGTTGCTGTCACGTGTCTCGTTTTAGTCCGTGGGCTATGGAAACCGCTTTGTAAGAGATGACAGAGACGACAAGAGGTCAGTCCGAGTGGAGAGAGAAGATTTCCTTTTCAGGGAGCTATCGGGCTGTGTCGCTGTGTGTCGATCAGGGGGAAAGGGTTTGCGCGCTGCGTTAGGGAACTAAACTACTAAACGAAACGTTTTATTTTACCAGGTAAGGCCTACTGAGCTTTTGCAGAAGCGACCTGGCTATCGAAAATTATAGCTCAACGAAGTGGGCTATCTTATGGAAGTTTGGAGCAGCCAAAATACTCTAAACACATGTTTATAAATGTGGAGGGGGAAACCAGAGGACCGGAGAAAATACATGCGACTACGGGCAGAGACATGCGAACTCCAAATATAACAGGTGTCAGGGTCGGAATCGAACCTATGCCCTCCTGTATAACAGGCGAGGTAGTTAACATCTCACCACCGGGGTGACGAAGCTGGCGACTCGAGGTCGATTCCCGCTCACGGTCAACACCCAGTGACAATTATCTCAACCGGTCCTGGGCCTCCCCTAGGTCGACTCATCCTCAAAAGAGTACCTGGCACGTTGTGTAAAAACATCGCCACTGGGGAGACAAAGGCGGTCGGGCGTGATGCTCGCTAACACTACTTGCCCTAACAGTCTGTTAAGGCTACAAGGCGGATCTTTGTCTTTGTATCGGGGAGGTGGGTTCTCGGCGGCTTGAGGATAAGTTGTTGGCGGTCGAGTACAGATGTCCGAGACGGACGCTGGGAATGTCGTGATGGGCGGCGCAGGAGTGGCAGGTGGGGAGCGTCGTTGTAGATGAGATCGGACAACAACGGATTCCTCCCACATGCACACTCGCTAACTGGCTGAAAACATCTTAACACGTATAGAACCGCAGAGCAGATGTTTGTCGGTGGCGCCGGCTCACGCCACCTGGCAGCCTTCCAGCTCGCCTGCAGTCCCCACCCGGCGAGTGTGAGCACGCAGTTTGCATCAACGCCGCTTTATTAAACTCATCACGAGATTGATGTATTTTCGTTTAGCTGGGTGGGACGCGTGTGCAGGGTGGAGGGGGTTGACGGCCGATCGCCGAGACGGGCGTGGGAGCGGCCGGCTCCACGGGCCCGGCTACCGGGGGGAAGACCGAAGATCAGATCAGAATATTTATTTATTTCGGAAGGAATCCGATGAGCTGCGAAGCTCTTTTATCATAAATGTCAAGATGTCGGAGAGAGGCAGTCAGGGCAGATGGTGGAGGTCGCCGCGCGTCGAGCGTGCGGTGGTGGCGGCGGCAACGGCGCCTTTGGCATTGAGGGCTTCTTGATCGTGAGCACTCGTGAGAGGGGGTCGTGAATAACCCCCTCGCTGGTGCACCGTGGGGAAGCCGTTTCCCCACGAGCCACGTCACAGCCCCGTCTCGTATCCTTCTCCCCCGATCCTTCCTCGAACCTTCCAGAAGGTTCTCCCAGACTCCTTGCTCCTCCCCCTTCTCCTCCTCCTCCTCGCCAATCACGTCCCTCGCTCCCTCTCCGCCCCTAACCACCCTCTCCCTCCCGATATCTTTCTGTCCCGCCCCTAGTGCATGGACGGATTTCTCCAGGACGACAAAAGATTCTGAGTTGTCCCGCTCTTCAACATCAACAAGGCTCGAAGCGCATGAACGGCAAATTCAAGTGTGGGTTGCATTAGCCAGAGTGCGGATGTTGGTCTGCAACCCAAACACAAATGAACCGCAGTACCTTGCTGATGTCGTCAAGGAGTTTAAACCATCACGCCAATTTCGGTTTTCCTCGCAGCAGCGGCTTTTGGTTCGCCATCGAACGAAGACGCTCGCTGTGTTACGCGTTTTCAGATGCAATTAAGCGGCCGTCTGGAACGCTCTTTCCTCCGATATTAGGAAGCCAGTGGAACTATGCACTTTTAAATCTAGGTTGAAAACGTATTTCTTTGGAACTGCTCTTTGTGTTGAGTTTGTTGTCTTTCCCCCTTACCGCCGATTCGCACGGTTGGCTACGTACGGTGCAAAAGAAGTTCAACATGCGTACATATGAAAAAAAAACCTTCCCGATCATTTGTCCCTTCGGACGCCCATGATTCCATCCTTTCTCCCCTGCCCCTTTGCTGGATTACTCCACACAATTCCCTCCACCCCATTCCCTCCTCCCCATCCCCTCCTCCCCATTCCCTCCACCCCATCCCCTCCACCCCATTCCCTCCTCCCATTCCCTCCACCCCATTCCCTCCTCCAGCTGTCCCTGTGTGGTCCCACCCTGGCATTGCCTAAGGGCAGTCGAGGTCAGGGCACTGCCCTCCTGGCCGCGTACCTGGCTGTACACGAAGTACATCCCAGCGCAGATGATCCTCATCTTGCTGTTGTTGACCAACTCAATCCGGCAAGGGGCTTCCGCCTCCATCTCGGCCGTGCATCTCCACCGGAACAGCCTGTCGGGACCTGCATCACCGTCGCCAACGTCATCATCACCACCACCGTCATTAGCACGGTTGGCTACGTACGGTGCGAACGAAGTTCAACATGCACACATTACCATCGTCTTCGATGTCGTCTTTATTAAAGCTGACTCATTTCGAAGGAGGCTCAGCCGGGGCACATGGCGAGTGTGGCAGCCCCCTCGTGCGTAGCTCAGACTCAGAATGTTTATTTATAGTGGAGGAATCCGGTGGGCGGCAAAGCACGTCGGGGCGGCTCAGAAGGTTACAACCACAAACAATGCTAAAATACAACAGGAGTGTAAAGTATAGGAAAGGTAAACAAACCACTTATAAAAAACTAAACTATATATATTGTTTTTATCTTACCACGTAAATAATACTTAACTGCAAACCTAAACTAATTTTATTTTACCAGGTGGGCCCACTGAGCTATATAGCTCTTTTTCAGCAGCGACCTGGCCACAAACGATAGCTCAAGGAAGTGGACTATTATAATCTCAACCAGGGGTCACCAAACTTGTTTCACAGTGGGCCGGATAACTGAAAGAATGACGAGCGCGGCCCGCATAATGAATAAATAAAAAAAATTCTGGAGCGTCGGACCTGTGTTGACAGCTGGAAAATCTGGGGGCGGGAAAGATGCGTGTTTGTGTGTGTTGCCATGGAAACCATGGTAACGTGTTACCATGACGTTGCCATGGAAACCATGGTAACGTGTTGCCATGACGTTGCCATGGAAACCATGGTAACGTCAGAGCGTAGGCGGAGCTACCACGAGCCGGGGAAGGACTTGGGATGGCGCGAAATAAGCAAACAGAATAAACAAGAAAATCTAGATACAATAACTTAAAATTTAAAATAGTAGATTTAAGGAACATAGCAGTCAGGAGGTCTCCTAGTATTCTAAACATAATATTTAAATTGTATCACAACGTCTCGTGTTCCAAATTCAAGTACCGTCGGTGGGCCTGATGGACTGACGTCATGCGGCCCGCGGGCCGTAGTTTGGTGACCCCTGCTCTAAACACTCTAAACACATGATTCTTAGCAGGCAAAGCGCACTGAGCTAAACCGCTCACACCACCCACCTGGATTGACTGCCTGGTCCGTGTCCTGAGGCACCAGGTGCACAGCAACCACGTGATTGCGAGCGCACCCATCTACACGCATAGGAGACAAGAGACCCCCCCCCCTAGTATCGTCTTCATCAGACTGTTGGAGCAAGTTCTGTTAGCGAGCACCTATGAAGGCACGAGGGGGTGGGTGGCCAACACCACGCCCGGCCGCCTTTGTCTCCCCAACGGCGATGTCTACACACCGCACCAGGTACTCATTTGAGGCTGGGTCGACCTGGAGGAGGCCCAGGACCGGTTCAGATAATCGTCACCGGTGTTAGCCGTGAGCGGGATTCGAACTCGGGTCGCCAGGTTCGTAGTGCATCGCGCTAACCGCTACACCACCGCTCACGCTGACCCACACCGCACCGAGACCTACAAAGACAAAGATCCCCCGTATAGCCTTCACAGACTGTTGGGGCAAGTGCTATTAGCGAGCACCTATGAAGGCCAGCACGGCACACGAGGGGGTGGGTGGCCAACACCACGCCCGGCCGCCTTTGTCTCCCTAGTGGCGATGTTTACACATCGCACCAGGTACTCATTTGAGGCTGAGTCATTTGAGGCTGAGTCGACCTAGGGGAGGCCCAGGACCGGTTCAGATAATCGTCACTGGTGTTAGCCGTGAACGGGAATCGAAGCCGGGTCGCCAGGTTCGTAGCGCAATGCGCTAACCGCTACACTAACGCTCGTGACCTACACACACACCGTGACCTACACACACACTGTGACCTACACACACACCGTGACCTACACACACATACACACACATACACACACACACCAATACCAACACAGCCGGTATTCGCCACGAAGCGATGGTGACGTCACCACGGCGCCTGTGCCAGCCCAGGTGCACTTTCAGGCCACGTGAAGTGTCGAATGCTCGCTGACAGGAGGTCACGGCACACACCGAGGTGCCATGGGTTAGCTGACTGAGATTATTGGTAGATGCACCACCTGTTGTGCCCCCTACTGTGCCGACTTGCTGCATGTTATCCACCCGGCGCTCCGCTCGTTGTTGTGAGCATCGCTAATCTGCCCTCCGTTGTTGTTGGAGGGCGACTGCCTCCAACTGCCCAGTAGCAGCGTCCTTCACGAGCCTCCTCCACAGAGGCCGATCTTGACACCGCTGGTACCAGTCATCGGCAAGTCTACTCAGCTCCACGTCCTCTTGTACCACATCACTCCATCTCTTCTCTAGCCCGTGCCGTGTCCCTTTTGTCCCCGATATGCGGCCACACAGAAGCTGCTTGGGCACGCGGTGGTGGGGCATGCGGGCGACGTGGAACTCATTTCGTCCGTGCCGGTGATTTACTGTCCTATAAACGATGTCCTTCCCTCCCGCACCTCCGATTAGCACGGTTGGCTACGTACGGTGGGAAAGAAGTTCAACATGACACACCCTCTATGCATGCAACACCACCGTGGCTTGCGCTCTTTGCACGGACGAGGTGGAACGGCCCAACAAAGACAAACCACTCCACGAACACTCTCCCGAAGCCCTCTTCGCCGTGACCAGCGGTAGACGTTGGCCTCTTTAGCTCCTGAAACAAAGTGCTGCTCCTGCAATCAGCGGCATCGCCATCACAGTCGTCGTCGCGCGCAGGGATAGACGTGAGAGCGAGCGAGCGAGAGAGAGGAGAGGGCGCGCGTCCTCCCCTACCGTCGACGGCGGCGGCGCAAGACCGCAGCGAGTTGGCCACGTCCGGGCTGCTGCTGATGAGCGCCAGAAGCAGCGGCAGCAGCGAGAGCCCCGGGACACCGCGACTCCTGCCAAGACTCGGCCCCCCACTCGCACGCATCCCCTCGGCGATCTGTACACGTGACCTCTCTAGTGACACAGCGGCTATCGCACATGCAGACACACACGTGCGCGTGGTCATCACCTTCACAGACTCGTCACAGACAAACGCGCGTGGTCATCACCTTCACAGACTCGTCACAGACACAAGTGCGTGGTCGTCACCTTCACGGACTCGTCACAGACACACGCACGTGGTCATCACCTTCACGGACTCGTCACAGACACACGTGCGTGGTCATCACCTTCACGGACTCGTCACAGACACATGCGCGTGGTCGTCACCTTCACAGACTCGTCACAGACACACGCGCGTGGTCATCACCTTCACGGACTCGTCACAGACACACGCGTGGTCATCACCTTCACGGACTCGTCACAGACACACGCACGTGGTTCGTCACCTTCACGGACTCGTCACAGACACAAGTGCGTGGTCATCACCTTCACGGACTCGTCACAGACACACGTGCGCGTGGTCATCTCTCTCGGCGTCGTCCCGATGCTCACTACAACACATGGGCTGGAATCTTCTGGGAAGGGAGGGGGCTTTCAGCCCCACTTCCCACGCTGTCGAATTTCGAATGTTGATCACTGTATATTTTGTACGCACAGTCATCGCTATGGAGACAGCATATTTTGGATTGAAATAGATATACTGTGCATATATCTTTTTTAGACAATCTTTTTTATTACGGAGCCAACTCTGCTAAATGGGCCCTCGGACACCTCCATGTCTCGATACTCTCGCGGTCTATCCACTGTTGGATGAAGGAAGGCCCTCGTAATCCCCCGCGATGCCACCGATCCACGTACGTCCTTCTATAGCTCCATGCGCCTCGTCGCTCCGTCTCCACATGGGTCCGTCATCTTTCGGGCGCGTTCCAACATCGCCTGGTATGCCAGGAGGTCGGGTGTTCGATCTGGACCCTGACGCCTGCTGTACATGTGGAGTGTGCGCTGTCTCTCTCTCTCTCCGTGGGGTCCATCACTTTTTACCCTCCACATTGAGAAACGTGCATTTCAATTATTCAGATTTTGCTGCAATAAATGTTGCACGTTCTAAGCCACTTTGTCGTGTGGACGTTCGTTTTCCTCACAGGCGCGGTGCATGCCAACAACGCAGACAATCGAGAGAAATCGCAGGCATGGTTCGCGATTTTCTGCGGACTGCAGCTGGCGGCACGACTGCGTGGAACTCCGAGAATTGGATGACTTTCGCGCGCCGCCGGGTGGAACACGAAATGGAAGACCCAACCGGGGGGGGGCAGCAAGTTAATAATTTAGCCCGTAACCTGAGAGTCTCGCGTGGATGCTGTCGCTGTGATGGAATGATTGGGGCGCGCAAACTGGACTTGCAATATCAAAATGTCGCCGGTTCGATCTTCTGGCATGGTGATTACTATTAAACTTGGCCATCACAGATAGCTCAACGGTGTGGCTCATCACGTGGAAAATGTTCAGCAGCCAAAAACTCTAAAACGCGCGACGTTGATTCTAAATGTGGAGGGGAAAAACCGGAGGACCCGGAGAAAAATCCACGCGACCACGGGGAAAGAGACACCGCTAACTCCAAATACGCTAAAGTTTTCACGTTTCATGTATTAGGTATAGCCCTGTGAGCCATGCGGCTCTTAAGTCGGGTGCAACCGCAACAAACAAAATTTAAACACAGAACATCTTAAAACGACAACGCGTAACAGAAACATCCTGGAATAAACCAGCAAATATTCAACACAAATAAAACTTATTAAAACGCTGTGTGCAAGAATCACAATGTGGTGCAAGCCAACAACAACAATCATAAGACAATTTAGGTTAACCATATGTTTTCGAATCACCAAAATAAAGCTATAAAAACAATGTAACAACAGTTACATTAGGAACTGTGATTTTAAATGTAACAATAAACGATATACATAACACGTACGACAAAAAACTGCAGCGATAGCTGGCAGCACGACACTCCCAGTGTTTGATGTGTGAGTGAGTCAGCAGCAGCGTGAGTGAGTGTATGATGTGTGAGTGAGTCAGCACCAGCGTGAGTGAGTGTATGATGTGTGAGTGAGTCAGTGGTAGTGTGAGTGAGTGTATGATGTGTGAGTCAGTGTCTGATGTGTGAGTGAGTCAGCAGCAGCGTGAGTCAGTGTATGATGTGTGAGTGAGTGTATGATGTGTGAGTGAGTGTATGATGTGCGAGTCAGCGTATGATGTGTGAGTCAGCGGCAGCGTGAGTGAGTGTATGATGTGTGAGTCAGCGTATGATGAGTGAGTCAGTGTATGATGTGTGAGTGAGTCAGCAGCAGCGTGAGTCAGTGTATGATGTGTGAGTGAGTCAGCAGCAGCGTGAGTGTATGATGTGTGAGTGAGTCAGTGGGTAGTGAGTGTATGATGAGTGAGTCAGTGTATGATGTGTGAGTGAGTCAGCAGCAGCGTGAGTGTATGATGTGTGAGTGAGTCAGTGGTAGTGGGAGTGAGTGTATGATTTTTGATTTAAAGTTTTCGTGACTGCAGGGATTCATATTCTTGGTTCTTTCGGTAAAGTCACGTAGAAGGGAAACAATAATTTTATTATTATTATTTTATTGTTTCCCTTCTATGTGACTTTACCGAAAGAACCAAGAATATGAGTGTATGATGTGTGAGTCAGCGCACGATGCGTTAGTCAGCGCATGATGAGTGAGTCAGTGTATGTGTGAGTGAGTCAGCGGCAGCGTGAGTGAGTGTATGATGTGTGAGTCAGCGTATGATGTGTGAGCGAGTCAGCGCATGATGAGTGAGTGAGTGTATGATGTGCGAGTGAGCCAGCACACGATGAGTGAACCTGTGTATGATGAGTGAATGGGTCAGTGGTTGTGCGAGTGTATGATGTGTGAGTAAGCGCATGATGAGCGAGTCAGTGCATGATGTGTGAGTGAGTCAGTGCATGATGTGTGAGTGAGTCAGTACATGATGTGTGAGTGAGTCAGTGCATGGTGTGAGTGAGTCAGTGCATGGTGTGAGTGAGTCAGTGCATGGTGTGAGTGAGTCAGTGTATGATGTGTGAGTGAGTCAGTGCATGGTGTGAGTGAGTCAGTGCATGGTGTGAGTGAGTCAGTGCATGGTGTGAGTGAGTCAGTGCATGGTGTGAGTGAGTCAGTGTATGATGTGTGAGTGAGTCAGTGCATGGTGTGAGTGAGTCAGTGCATGTTGTGAGTGAGTCAGTGCATGGTGTGAGTGAGTCAGTGTATGATGTGTGAGTGAGTCAGTGCATGGTGTGAGTGAGTCAGTGCATGGTGTGAGTGAGTCAGTGCATGGTGTGAGTGAGTCAGTGCATGGTGTGAGTGAGTCAGTGCATGGTGTGAGTGAGTCAGTGTATGATGTGTGAGTGAGTCAGTGCATGATGTGAGTGAGTCAGTGTATGATGTGTGAGTCAGTGTATGATGTGTGAGTGAGTCAGTGTATGATGTGTGAGTGAGTCAGTGCATGGTGTGAGTGAGTCAGTGCATGGTGTGAGTGAGTCAGTGCATGGTGTGAGTGAGTCAGTGTATAATGTGTGAGTGAGTCAGTGCATGATGTGAGTGAGTCAGTGTATGATGTGTGAGTGAGTCAGTGTATGATGTGTGAGTGAGTCAGTGTATGATGTGTGAGTGAGTCAGTGCATGATGTGTGAGTGAGTCAGTGTATGATGTGTGAGTCAGTCAGTGCATGGTGTGAGTGAGTCAGTGCATGGTGTGTGAGTGAGTCAGTGCATGATGTGTGATTGAGTCAGTGCATGATGTGTGAGTCAGTGTATGATGTGTGAGTGAGTCAGTGCATGATGTGTGAGTGAGTCAGTGCATGATGTGTGAGTTAGTCAGTGTATGATGTGTGAGTCAGTCAGTGCATGGTGTGAGTGAGTCAGTGCATGGTGTGAGTGAGTCAGTGTATGATGTGTGAGTGAGTCAGTGTATGATGTATGAGTGAGTCAGTGTATGATGTGTGAGTGAGTCAGTGCATGGTGTCAGTGAGTCAGTGTATGATGTGTGAGTGGTGTGAGTGAGTCAGTGTATGATGTGTGAGTGAGTCAGTGTATGGTGTGTGAGCGAGTCAGTGCATGGTGCGAGTGAGTCAGTGTATGATGTGTGAGTGAGTCAGTGTATGGTGTGTGAGTGAGTCAGTGCATGGTGTCAGTGAGTCAGTGTATGATGTGTGAGTGTGTGAGTGAGTCAGTGCATGGTGTGAGTGAGTCAGTGTATGATGTGTGAGTGAGTCAGTGTATGATGTATGAGTGAGTCAGTGTATGATGTGTGAGTGAGTCAGTGCATGGTGTGAGTGAGTCAGTGTATGATGTGTGAGTGAGTCAGTGTATGGTGTGTGAGCGAGTCAGTGCATGGTGCGAGTGAGTCAGTGTATGATGTGTGAGTGAGTCAGTGTATGGTGTGTGAGTGAGTCAGTGCATGGTGTCAGTGAGTCAGTGTATGATGTGTGAGTGAGTCAGTGTATGATGTGTGAGTGAGTCAGTGTATGATGTGTGAGTGAGTCAGTGTATGGTGTGTGAGTGAGTCAGTGCATGGTGTGAGTGAGTCAGTGTATGATGTGTGAGTGAGTCAGTGTATGGTGTGTGAGTGAGTCAGTGCATGGTGTCAGTGAGTCAGTGTATGATGTGTGAGTGAGTCAGTGTATGGTGTGTGAGTGAGTCAGTGCATGGTGTCAGTGAGTCAGTGTATGATGTGTGAGTGAGTCAGTGTATGGTGTGTGAGTGAGTCAGTGCATGGTGTCAGTGAGTCAGTGTATGATGTGTGAGTGAGTCAGTGTATGATGTGTGAGTGAGTCAGTGTATGATGTGTGAGTGAGTCAGTGTATGATGTGTGAGTGAGTCAGTGTATGATGTGTGAGTGAGTCAGTGCATGGTGTGAGTGAGTCAGTGTATGATGTGTGAGTGAGTCAGTGTATGATGTGTGAGTGAGTCAGTGTATGATGTGTGAGTGAGTCAGTGTATGATGTGTGAGTGAGTCAGTGTATGGTGTGAGTGAGTCAGTGTCGGCTCTCTCTGCTCGCGCCGTCACCCCCCCCCCCCCCCGGCTCCGTCTCCCCCCCCCCCCCCCACCAGCTCCGTCGGCCCTCCCTTGGCTCCGTCGCACCCCCCCCCCCCCGGCCCCGTCGGCCCCCTCGGCTCCATCGGCTCCTTCCGTCGGCTCCGTCGGCCCCCTCACAAACGGCCCCCGCCAGCCGCTGCTGGGAGCGCGGCCCGGGAGCGCCTCCTGCATACCAGGCGAGGGAGTGAACATCTCCTAGCCACCGTGGCATCCGTGGTGCGAGTTTCTCGAACCCCCGGTCGCCTCTGCCCACCCAGCGCTGTAGGTGATTGGTAACAAACACCTGCACCGTTTGGACTTGCCGAGCATCGGTCGCGGGTGGTGGGGTAAAGCAGAGTCTGGGAAACTCCCGCATCATCCGAGATATCTGGCCAGCGGTTGGAAGAGTAGGCCAAATACCACTGTAGCTACAGGGCTCCCTCTAGTGGAGGAGGCTTCTTCGCCAGCAGTGGCGTGGGCGAGCAATTTCACGGCTGCGCCTGTACCATTGCCGACCACGTTAGGGTGGTGACGCCGCCTACAGCGGGTTCGATATACAGCGGCAGCCCTGGTTAATCCTGCGGGTGTAATAATAACGACAACACGTCGACTACGCGCCGACTGCTTCACTCATCGTGGACGTTAAAGATACCGTGACATTCTTCACGGGTCCGAGAAACGACACCGCGAGACACTCAGTTGGGTTCACGGCAGCAGCAGCAGCAGCAGCGGCAATAATCGCCCGCGACTGGCTAACTGATGTCCCAGGTCACCAGTTCCGCATGCGTTGCATGGAAGAGCGCAGCACTCGCTGGCTGATCAATGTTACACGAGAGAAGGAATTGGGGCACCACGGTGGCTAGGGGATGTTAACTCCCTCGCCTGATATACAGGAGGTCGTGGGTTCGATCCCGACCTTGACGCCCGCTGTTGCTGCTGTTTATTTGGTCACGTGGATTTATCTCCGGGTGCTCCGGTTTTCCCCCTTCACATCTAGCAACAGTCGTTTATTTGGCCACGACAAATCACCACGAGATAAGTCACTTGGTTGAGCTGTCATTTGCGATAGCCAGGTCGCTTATTCAAAAAGCGCTACATAGCTCAATGGGCCTTTCCTGGTAAGATAAAAAAAAAGTTATAGAATCTCTCTCCGTGGTACGAGTCCAGACTTTCCATCAAAGATCCGTGCATCCCCTGTCTGGCCTACACGGGCTGGCTTGGGACACGTGCTAAACACATAGAACATACATCTCAGAAAGACAAAACACCCCCCCCGTATAGCCTTAATAGGCTGTTGGGGCAAGTGCTGTTAGCGAGCACCTATTAAGGTCGGCACGGCACACGAAGGGGTTGGGTGGCCAGCACCACGCCCGGACACCTTTCTCTCCCCAGTGCTGATATTGTTGACGCACAACCAGTTCAGCGATTCGCCACTGATGTTAGCCGCGAGCGGCAATCGAACGCGGGTCAGGGGGTTCACGGAGAAGTGGGCCAACCGTTGCGCCACCGCCCCGCCTTGAGTTTACACACACACACCGCCACATCTCCAGATTAACAACTCTGCAAAGTGACCTTGTTTAAGGGGGATTGGGGGGGGGGCACGACGCAGTCAATGCTAAACAAACTTTAGACGAATGTTAAACATAACTGAGTAATGTCGCGATCCGCTGTTGCCCATCGTGAATTCCGCTCTGGCTCTCGCGTCCCCGTATTACACGCACCACGTGCACACGCACCACGTTCACATGGCTCACGTTCGCACGGTCCACGTGTACACGCACCACGTTCACACGGCTCACGTATACACACCACGTACGCGTGGCCCACGTGCGCACGGCACCACGTGTACACGCACCACGTGCGCACGGCCCACGTGTACACGCCCCACGTGCGCACGCACCACGTGCCGCCGTGCGCACAACGAAAGGCCGCGCCACTGCAGTGCAGGCCACGTTGCCGCAGCAACATTCTTCGGCTAAATATAATAACGCGGCAGCGGCGGCAGCCAGAGCTTGACAAACATTTATTTACAAGAGGGGCTCTGAAGCCTTCATTCGCGGGGCGAGGGGGGGTCCACATACAATCCCTCCACTCAAGGGGGTGCGGGTGGGGGGTTTACTGCAGTCCATGGGTGACCGTCGCTGGGCTGGGGGGGGGGGGAGAGAGGCGCTGTCAATCCTTCCCGGAGTAAACCGGGCGTGGCCCACGGCTCACGGCGCGACCGCGGTATTTATATTCCGGCTTTTCACCCTCGTGTCCTTGCGCCCCGCGCCACGATCACGAGATTAGAGCCCCTCCTGGGCGACTCCAATCAACTCAAGTGCCGCCACTGCGGGTCAACCCGGGCGGGGAGGGCGGTGCGGGGGAGAGAGGGAGGGAGGTAATCTCCTGATGAAGAGATTAGCGATGGGGAACACGACAGCCAGCAGAGACAGAATGTTCACATCTGCACCTGCCCACCTGCCTGGCCGCATGCCCACCCGACTCGCCTTATTCGCCTCCCCACCTGCCCGGCCGTCTGGCCGTCTGCCCAACCGCCGCGGTGGCTAGGAGATGTTAACTCCCTCGCCTGGTATACAGGACGTCGTGGGCTCGATCCGCTAACCTGACGCCTGCTGCTGTGTATTTGGAGTTTGCACGTCTCTCTCACCGTCCCCGTGGTCGCGTGGATTTTTGTCCGGGTCCTCCGATCCCCGCCCCGCCCCCCTCTAGAATTAACATCACGCGTACTTAGCTAATATACATTTCCACGTGATAAGCCACTTCGGTGAGCTCGTATTTGTGGTCTGGTCGCTTATGAAAATGAGCTGTATAGCTCAGTGTGTCCTGACGAGTAAAACAAAAGTTTAGTTTAACTTTGCCACCTCCACGCCTGGCCATTCACGAAATCGCCGTCAATCAACACACGTGAATTATTCTGTTCAACTCGTGTCAGAACTTTCCCCATAGCCGACGTTTGGTGCAATGGCCCTTCTTCGCAGCAGAGGCACCAGAGGCTGAATGCACGAAACACCACCACCACACGATAACAATAATGCTCCGACTACACCATGAGAGCCTCATGTAGTTTTAAGAGAGTATTCATAGTTGGAGTCCTAAAATTGAAATATTACGATTTAGCAATGAGTGGATATTCAGTAACACATTCAAAATATTTGTTGTATGCTTTTGTAAAAGGTAAACATCATCATCAGCCATGGTCTATCCACTGCTGGATGAAGGCCTCCCCCCCGAAGCCACCGCCGTGATCTTCCACAATCAGTGCGATGTTAATAATCCACCCGATGACACAAACCGATGTCACTGGTCCCAACTCCTCAATCCATCTCTTCCTCTCGGACGCGTTCCGTGGCCGCTGACCCCCCACACTCACTCCCTCCACGCTGGCTAGACCGGCTTGTAAGAAGAGCTGTGGGGGGGGGGGGCTCCCACACTTGAGCCCACCACAGGCACACCTACCGATGGACTCTTGAACTCTGCTGTGCCCATGCGTTCCGTTGTGTGGACACAATACGGGGGGGGGGGGTGGCTTTCACCCGCCGCCCGAGGATAATCGAACTGAATCGATGACCTCTGGATTGGATTTAGTTTTCATCGATTCATGTTGAGCGACTTTCTTACCCCGTTTTTCTCTGCTTTTGCATTCCTATCGGTTTTTTCGTATCGATTGTTTGTTGTAACTTGCTGACCCCGTCCCATACGGGACCATCCGTGAAGTCTAAGAGGAAGATTCTGATCCTGGAAAGGCAACCGGTTACCGCAACCCATTAATGAGCACGACAGCGGTGCCAAGCAGCAGCAGCAGCCTCGTGCGTTGCGTACTCACTTTTATTTCTTTATTTAGCTCGCTTCAAAATTCAAGAAACGAGGTCGGACAAACGAGAGATAGAGAGAGGGAAAACCCGGCAGTAAACAGTAAAACTGTACAGGGGAGGGAGGGTAGTTGTGGGGGGGGGGGGAACTCGCGACAAAATAATTACGGCGGCGTTTCAAACCAAGAACGAACCCCGGGCGAACGCGACAAAGCAGTCGTGCCGGTGACGGAACTTCCAAAAGTCGTTTCGGATGCGCGCTCACAGCAAGCAGCAGCGCGCAGACGCTGGCGCCGCGACGCGCTGATAATTGATGAACCAGGGAGGAGAAACATTTCCGCGATTCACAAAACACACAACGCCGCCGCATTGCGGGGGGGGGGGGGGAGTTTTCACGATGCACGGAGCTCATCTCGTGAAAGACCAAAATCCCGAGTGATTGGGGCTGCGGGTGCCGCGCCGATTAGCGGACTGCGATCCCCGCCCCGCTGAGCAGTCCACAGCCGATTTGTGGCAAATCCGCGTGCGGACTGCGGTGTCTCGTTTTAGCGGCTCCCCGGGAGACGGGAGCCCGGTCAGTGTCTTACTGACGCCAACTGGTTAGACGAGTCACTGCACCCTCGCACGTGTTATGCATCGCGTTTATTGTTGTTACATTTGAATCGCAGTTCCTACGGTCACTGGCGCATCGTGTTTTTTATAGCTTTATTTTGGCGATTTCCAAAACGTTTTAGTTTAGCCATATTTGTGTGTTGTAGTACAGAGTTGGACTGATAACTTTAATCTAAATTGTCTTGTGGTTGTTGTTGTTGTTTGACTTGCATCCCACTGGGATGTTTGCACACAGCGTTGATATACGGTGCTTTTTTGTGGAAGACCTTGCTGTTTTTCCCTGAATTTTTCTGTTTGCGCGTAGTCACTTTAAGATGTTTTCTTGTTCATGTTTTTGTTTGTTGCGGTTGCACCCGATTCAAGAGCCGCATGGCTCACAGGGCTACTCCTAATAAATGAACTGAACCGACTACCTGAGGAGACTTCCCATGGCAGGGTGACCCCGCCACTTGACATGAAGCGGCAAGGGACTTCCGATTTTGGTTTTCGTTTCGTTACTTTCATAGAGGTCTGAAATGTAAAAGCGACTGACATCGTCAAGAGTGAATGATGGGGGCAGCCTTTGTAGCTAACCCCCCCACCCCCCACGGTGGCCTGATGTTAACTACCTCGCCTGGTATACAGGAGGTCGCGGGTTCTATCCAGACCCGGACGCGTGCTGTGTGCTGTATATTTGGAGTTTGCGGCCTCTCTCTCTCCCCGTGGTGGCGTGGATTTTTATCCGGGTCCTACCCCTCCACATTTAGAATGAACGTGCGTTAG